TGAATAGCTTTTCAAGAGAGACTAACATGAAATATTTATGTGGCTAAGAGTCAGTAAAAGATTAAATTCGTTAATCAAAAGTATTTATCAAGGTATGACTGGTAAAGAATGGCGATAAAATCCTTCGACTTTGAGAGGTAACTCACAGTCTAGACATAGGCGTAAGCGCTAAAAAACAGTTATTTTCTGGAATAACTCAGCAACCCTTGATGTCAGAAAACATTTGACATCATTTTCAGACTTATTTTTGATACTAAGCTCGAGCTCATCCAAGGTCCATCGATTGAAAGGCTCACATAGAAACTAAATTTTATCCAATATTGAACTTGTATTATTGTCATGTAAGACTAGGTCAGAATTCGCCAAAATCAAAGTGAATTTATTTTTATGATTTTTAAAAACTCTTTTTGTGTTTCCACACATATATCGATAGTTATCCGTGATATAATGATGAATCTTTGCAAGAGTTGTAAAAAAGGGTTCGAAAAGTTTTGAATGACCTTCAGATGACCTCTAAAGGTCAAAAGTCAAATGATCGAAAAATACTCATTTGAACAATCCCTTTAAACTTTTTTAGGAGTGAAAATGGAAGTTAATTTTGTTCACTTTTATTGAAATTTCATTGAACTTATTGACTTTAATTAAACATGTTTTATTCACAATATACTAACGTAATCTAATGTTGAACTGAAGCAAACTTTTGCTTTTTGTGATGAAACTTGGTTCAAGTCTCGTCCTTTTGAAATGCAATTTATTTGCTTCAGGAAAGGTGATTGTGATGAAAAGGGCCAAGATAAATGTTTCAAGATGAAAATGGATGGACAAATGGGAAAACATTATGAATGTCACCAGAGAGTGTAAAGGTAAACATGTAAAGATGAAAAGTTTGGTAAAAACAAGTGAACAACATTTTGGTTATCACTTTAGCATCATTCCCTGTCGACCATCTCAAGTAATTTAGCCATTTCTCTTCATCTTCTTGTAAAGAAAAGATGAAAGATTTTTCCTTTTCTTTCCATTCTTTTCCAGTTTTCTTGGTTATTATTTCTTATTTTTTTCCTCTATTACACTTTCACATCATGAGCATTTTCCCAGTGAAAGATGAGATTTCCATGAAACAGATTAAAACAAAACTCAATGAAATGGATTCCAAAGTTGAAAGATAATATCTTGTGATGATAAAAGAAAAAGTAATATTGATTTAGAAGATGAATAAGCTTCTAAGCATTTCATGAAAATATTGATGAATTAATGATTGAAACGATAATAATTATTCTTTCATCAATAACAATTCAATCAATTTCATTGAATAAACACATTAATACCGGGTGTGGCAAAAGTTCATCAAAAACATTTCACTTCTCTTCAAGAGTCTCTCAGTTAACCAGAACTTGCTCATTGCTTTATTTCCTGATTATTTCTGTTTACCCAATGATATAATCCAGTTAAGAATAAATTTTCAAATTCAATATTCGGACAGAAATGTTGGAATTGAATTCATGAAGGATAATAGTTGAACCGAGAAAAGGCTTCAAGCAGTTTTGTCTCTTTTACCAAATGAATGTAAACATTTTAAAGTTGATCAAATATGCTATTTAACAATATTAATAAAGTTGAAATTAATTGAAGTAAAAATGTTTCATTGATTGGGAGTTGAATAATGGCGTGTTTGGAGTAAAATTTATTTCAATTTTCAGGGAGTTTTGACAAAAAATCAATATTCTTGTTTGCTATTATATTTAGTAGCAAAAACGTTGCTCTCAGTTCAGTATTTAAATGATTATAAAGTAACAATGTCGGCATTGGAATACATTTCACTGATGTTTCCAGAATTGAATATTGATGAAAAGGTTGGTTAAAAGGGTTGATTAATTGATTCAATTGGGATTGTTGAGATTATTGAAGCTGTCAGATGAAGTGAACTGAAAAGGCTTAGAGTGGGATTTGTGTTAATTTGGCAAATTGAAGGGAAAAGGTTTCATTGGGTTTAAACTGGATTTTGATCAACCATGAAATGAAAAGTTGAAACATTGGAAATGAAAAGAGTAAATGAACGGATTGTTAATTTGATCAATTCACAGTTTGTATTGATGATGAAAAGCGTTGGCAAAAAAAGTGAATCAATGAATTTTGTTCAAAGAATAAAAGAGTTTGGAAAAGACGGAAAAAGAAGAAGAAGAAGTTCTGTTTTCTTTTATTCAACATTCTGTTTCAGTTATTCCTTGTTTCAAAGTTCACTTTGATTCACTGGTGAAACTTGCAGTTGAAAGCCAGGTAAAAGTAAATATTACTTTTGCTGGTTAACAAATTGGATCCATTTTTTTGTTGACATGAAATTATCTGTATCAACATCTTGATACACAGTTGCTCATTTAAGTATCATTTCAGGGTGAAACAAAGAGAGAAGGAAAAAAAATGATTCGAAAGGATATTGAACATGAAAAGTGTTGACAAGTCAGCTTAAGGGTTGACGTTCAGGTGACTTGAGCTGTGAAAATATTTTTAGGTCAATGGTGAAGGGTTGATTAGCTGGTTGCAATAGTTAATAACAAGTGAAAACAAACTGTAATAAGCTTAATTTTAGATGATATTGTTCACTTCATCTGTGATCATTTTGGGTTCAATTGTAAATGAACAGATAATTGAGTTTCATTTGTTAACCAATTTCCAAAGGTTTCATGAGTTGAATGGATAAAAATGTTTTCACTGAACACTTGGAAAGTAATATTACAAGGGAAAAGAGGATTGAGAGGTTGACCTGAAATGGGTAGACAAACAGTTGAAGTGAAAATGATGATTCGAGTTGAATCAATTGGTTGAAAATTAAGTTTAAAATGTTAATGAAAAAAAGTTAAAGTTCAATTTAAATTGGGTTAACAATTTATAACTAGATTGTCAGATAAATTGGATGGCAAAGTAAACTTGATTAATCAGTAAAATGGGTAAATAGAGTGTAAAGAAAGCCAACAAAATGAATTCACAGGCAAAATTAATGGATTAATATTTTATTTTCAGGGAATAAATGAAATGTGAAAATTGAAGGATACAAATCACAATTATGAGTGAAAGCTTTTCTGTTCATTGATTTTACAAATACAATTAGGAAACTCTGAAAACTATCGATTCATTTTATCGTTTTTTTATCAATCAGTTGCTCATTTGGATACACAATTTATTGTAAAATTGATTAAATGCGATCTTGATTGATGTTGGTTTAAAAGATAAGTGATTTGAAGATGGTTAAGAGTTTGCTGTAATTATATTTTTTTAGATGCATTAACAGCTAATCTATCAAAGAGTATGGATTGTTTGATGTTGAAAGGGGAATGATGGTTCATGATAAACTGAGAGTAAATTTCAGGGTTTCTCAGGTGTAAAGCTCAATTCGTTCGAATGGAATCTTTTAAAATGAAAAATGTTTCTCTCTATAAATGGTTGAAATCATTGACTAAACAATCGCTTCACTCTGTGTTCATCTCGATGGAAAGTCATTCAATTATGATAACTTGAGTTTGCCAAGAGTTGCATTGAAAATTGAAACAAATGTACATTTTTATCGAAGGCAAGTTTTAACTAAGCTCTGAATTAGACAATTTTCTCGACTTTTTACTGACAAAGAATCCAAAGATTGGTAAAGACATTTCAAGACATTTAAAGGTCCAAAAAATTTGAAGTCAAAGTCAAATTCAAAATCGTTTGTTTTGATATCTTTAAAGCCTTTCTGAAAGTGTTACAGTTTTTATACAGAATTTTGAAAAAAGACGGAATTCGAATAGGAATTTTTACATTAAATTTTTATGTTAAATTGCTGTTTTACACGAAATGAGTTGAGAAATTTAAGGAACTTTATTTCAAGAATTTTATTCAGAAAATCTGATTTTGACGATCGTTTGACTTGCTTTTAGAATTGAAATATTTATTCGAAAAAGACTTTCGTTGGACATTTTCTAATGGTAAAGGTCAGCTTGGATCATTTTCGTATGAAAAGATTTCTCTGGTGTTGAGATGAACTGAAATCTCCGACTATAAATCCATTGTAATGTTAACAGGTTGGGTTGAGAGAAAAGCAATTTTTTATTTATTTTTTTCATTCCAAGAAATGAAATACAAGCAAGAAATGTAAATTAAATATTTAATTCTGATTGTTGGTGAAAAATTTGGTTCGATGTAATTTTGATTTGGTTTGACCAAAAAATTGATTTAGCAATATTGACAGGGATTCATTGTTGAAATCAGATGTTATCTTATTGAACATTTGTTTAGATTGGTTTCCATTCTTGTGTGTTATCGATTGAATAGATGATGAATTATCATTTAATGTAATTGAAAACTACCTGAGGTTTCCTTTATCATGTTGACTGTTTACAAATAAGCAAGTGATTAGCTCTACCTAAGGGCAAGTAATCGTGAAAACCAAATAACCGTTTCATTTTTGAATCAATAAGATTGCTTGTATAGCTTGACAGCCTAAAGGAAGTTGTATCTGAAAAGAAGGCAAAAATTTCATTTATCTTACATGCTATGATATTTCATGTTGATTGAAAAGTAAATTATTTATTTTCACACCAAAATTGTTTCTTGTTTCACAGTTTTCATTTTGTGGGTTAAATAATAATAATAAAAGTGACAAAAAGATTAAACTTTAATGACAAAATTGATTGTCTTCTGTATAAACAACAATTTATTCAAATTCATGAGGTAAAATCAAGAGTAATGCACAACCAGATTGAAAATACAAGAAACAGTTGAAGGAAAATGTTTACAGAAATGAAATGTTTACTTGGAATGAGAATGAAATGGTCAGATTAGTCTTTGATGATGATAGTTGTAATGGTAATTATTACTGTAAAGATGCTCTTGTTAGCTCATTTGCTGGCTATAGCCATGAATACAGGGATGCTTTTGATTGTTGCAACAATAAAAGACGCTCAAATGGTTCATTGAATGGGTTGAGATAATTACCAAGTGGAGAGGAAAGAAAAGCAAGATTATCTTCTTACCTGGGAATCTTTTGTAATCTTGGAAGAATCAGAACTGGTTAATAGTTTGTTGAATAGTGAATCTGGTTCACGATTGAGTGTTTCAAATGTTGTTGAATAGTAAACTCCACCAACGTTTAAATCAACAATTTTGCTCATGATGAATCCTTTTGTTGTTGCTATTGTTGTTGATGTTTATTGGATGAATGGGAAACGCGAAACAAAATATGATTTTTGTAAACCAATTTTTGAGGTTTAATTGTATTTCAAATGGTTTGTCAGTTGACTAGTCCAACAGAGGCTGGTTTAAGATGATGGTAATTGGAAGAACACTGATGACTATAACAGGATTGAAGATGTTTGGACACTTAGCCAGAGAAACAGGTCAATTTGGTCAAAGTGAGTTTTACAGGAAAGGAATTAGTTAAGCTTGGAATGCAGAAGATAAATAATTTTGATGATATTAGTGTTATTTTATCTCTTTTTTGGTAGATCTATTAATGATATGAAGATTGGTTCTAGTTGAGTTGCAACAATCCTCAAGATTATCACTTTTTTTTATACTTGTTTTTGTTGTAACAGCATAAAGAGACGTTTGAAGAACAGGCCACAAGTTGGATCGATTTTGATTTCGTACAAAACTTGCGCTCTTGATCAACAATCTGTTATGTACTGAGTACCTGCGCCCTATTACCTGAAGTAACTTTTATCCAATTATAAAAGATACTGTTCGTCTGGATTCGTATACCAAAAATGATGGGTTACTGGTGGCATCTACATGATAACAGCCCAAAGAGTTTAGTTGAAATACAATTTATGCCTCAAATCAGCTGATGTAGAGCTTCATAGGATCCAATTCATAGGATCCAACAAGCACACATGAGATACTCACGATTATCAAATGGTTTGAATTAATACGAATAGGTGAACAGGTATTAAAATGAGCAATCGCTTGTGTTGTCAGTATTGGCTGGGTTTGTTAAACTGGTTACATAAGATGAGCGACATTTTATCAAGTTTGTGTGGCGTTGAAAATCTGTAACTTGTGTCTATTTGTGTGTGAATAAATCAATAATAATTGATAATTTAGAATCAGGTGGAACCAGAATCAATTAAATTAAAAAGGAAAATAAATAAGCTTCAATTATTTCAATTTTACCGGTTAAGTTATTTTCAGGTTAACCATAGCAACAAATATCAGCTGTGCTTCCATGTGACTTGGACTTCACCGTTAATTGAAAATTTGGTTGCAATTTTATCCATCAGTTACATCAGTATATTGTTTTAAAAAGTTTGTTATAATCTTTTTTCGAGTGCTGTTCTGGTCATCAATTTTTCATAATGTTCTCTGTCCCTAGGAGTCTTGTTCGTTTACGTTCAGTGTATCCATTAATCTATAATGGAGCTAGATTTCGGTCAAGTTTACCTATGAATACAGTTGTAATTTTTGTACCTCAACAGGAAGCATGGGTGGTTGAAAGAATGGGAAAATTTCACCAAATTTGTGAGCCAGGTTTAAATTTTTTAATTCCAATTGTGGATAGAGTCAAATATGTTCAAAGTTTGAAGGAAATAGCCATTGACATACCAAAACAATCAGCAGTTACGTCAGATAATGTTACCTTGGCCATTGATGGTGTTCTTTACTTGCGAGTAGTTGATCCTTATAAAGCATCATATGGAGTTGAAGATCCAGAATTTGCAATAACTCAACTTGCCCAAACTACAATGAGATCGGAGATTGGTAAAATAACTTTGGATACGGTTTTCAAAGAAAGAGAAACACTGAATATCGCAATTGTAGAAGCCATCAATAAAGCTGGATTAGCATGGGGAATAACCTGTCTTCGTTATGAAATTCGTGATATCAAATTACCAGAAAGGGTTCAAGAAGCCTTGTCAATGCAAGTTGAAGCAGAAAGACGAAAACGAGCTGTCGTTTTGGAATCAGAGGGACGAAGAGAGGCAGAGATCAATGTAGCTGAGGGAGAGAAACAAGCTAAAATATTATCATCTGAGGCCCAGCGAATAGAGCAGATAAATAAAGCTCAAGGAGAATCGGCAGCAATTCAAGCCGTAGCTTCGGCTAAAGCAGCAGCATTGGAAAGGATTAGTAAAGCTTTGGCGAATAAAGGTGGTAATGCAGCATCTTTGGTTGTAGCTGAACAATATGTCAAAGCTTTCTCTGAATTAGCCAAAAAGAGTAATACATTGATACTTCCTGCTGATACTGGAAATGTAAGCAGTTTAGTGGCACAATCAATGGCAATTTACAAAAATATTACCGATAGACAAGTTAACATGGAATCAACAAGCAAAAAGGATAAAGATGATAATTTTCTTGCAGAATATAACAGTGATATCGATGAAGATGACGATGAAAAACCATGATAATTTAACTTTATGTTAATTAGATGTTTATTGAATTGCAAGTGTACCATCAGGGCAACGAAAGTTATCAAACTCAAAGACCAAATACACTTTAACAGTCCCTTTGTAAAACTGTATTTATTTTCACTTCACTCCTCTTCTATTCAACTAATAGTTTTTTTATTTATTCACCACGTTAAAGTATCCCGGTTTTCATCATGATTATTAAATTACATGTTAACGCTGTTAAATCAAAATTAGAAGCATTGGATTATTCTGAAGACTTAGTATTTGGAAACATGATAATTTTCGCAGTGCAACTTTGCTAGTGAACGAATTTCTAAAGCCTGTCTTTCATAACTGAATAACAATTAAATGATTTAGTTTTGTGAAAAACTAATAATGATTTGTTTTAACGAGATACCGAGATGAAGTCAATACGAAAACAACATCAATTCCTCGACATCAAAAAGATAATGTTTGATTCGCTTATTGAACATTCAAGGAATTATGCCTATGAAAATGAGTGACTAACGATCTTGCATGAATTTTACATGATATCCAGCCAGTGAATTGTATTTTGGATTCTCAACATAAAATAGAAATGAGAGATATTATAAATTATAGTTATTTAATCGTTTAATGCATACAAAGATGAAAAATAATGAGTATAATAATGAAGGCCATTACAGCTGTGGAATAAAGTAACGGCTATTGGAAGCGTGATTTTGCAAAACTATTATCATATTCAAAAGTAGTGAAAAAAATCTGTCTCAAGCTTTCGAAAAAAATACAATCCAGTTAAAATTAGCCTTTTTGGTTCTCGAAGCTAGTCAGATAAATTTTGCTTATTATTCGTGTTTAAGGCACAATTTACAGGAACACTTGAAACCATGAGTGCTCTCTAACAAAGCTTGTCTCTGATGATAACTATGGACAACAGCATTTGGTCCATAAGAAATGGTTATTTCTTCTCCTTTCTCGATTGGAGCTCTCGAAAGAATCAAAATTTTATCACATATAAAATACTTTTCACAGTTAGGATCACAGGAGTGACTTATTAAAGAAGCTGAAGCGTAAAGCCCCATGCCAATCTCTTTCGCAGTATCTTCATCAACAGATGTGCCAGGAAGTTTTAATTGATTATAACCATGATCTGTGATGAAGAATGAATTCAAATATCCAATTCCAAACTGTTTGAGAAGCAAGCAAGATAAATCAAAAACAGCACCATCTTGAACCAGTCTCATTGAACAAGCTAAATGAGCAATAAATTTTGAAAGAAAGGCCAACTTCGGAAGCATTGCTGAATTATTATCTTTAGACATTAATGTAAAGATATCTTGATAGTTGTTGAGAAATGACCTGCAAAAATATAAAAAAGAAAAATTACAAAATTGAAAAGACAAATCATCGAAACAAGCCTTAATTGCTAGAATTATTAACCTGGAAAGCTTTGGCTCTTTTCTCTTATCTTGCAAAGATTTTCGGTAAAGTGAAATTGATTCATCAAGCCCGTCGACGCTTAAACATCGAAGAGCAAAATGTCCAGCACCCAAAAAGCGAAGAAAAGATATATATTGGCATTCATATGAATGATACGATTTCCAGCTTTCCTCTTCACAGGCTGATGAACAGTAACGGACAAGGACACATTTGCGACAAGGAAAAAAGTAATTGTCCAACACATTGAAACAACGGAAGCAGTATTGAGAGTAAAGAAAAGGTGCCAACCATGTACAAAATGGTTCTTCGACAAGCAACTTGGTTCCCTTTTGGATATCATTTTGAGTAATTATTATTCGACCTTTATTTTTTTCATACGATAAGCTTAGATACGGAACAGCTCCATGAATACGCTCGCTAACTGGATTCAGGTTTACAAGTCTTCTTGCAACACTTTCAGCTTCAGTTGGAGGAGTCTTTAAATCTTGTAGCGTCAACAATTCAGCAGCAATATTTTTTTCGTAATTGTTAACTTTACCCAATGCAAAGTATTTCATGGAATCGTTTAAATCTTTTTCACAGACGTTATAATGGCCCAGTTTGCGTAGCAAATGTGCTCGAGTCATCAGACAAAAGGATAATTGGGATTTACTTTGATGATCAACGCCGTCCATCGGAAACGGAGCAAATAATAGCGCCTAAAGGATAAAAAACAAGAAAGGCTTGAATTATTAGAAATATTAAAGATTATCGGAAGATGTGCGACCTCAATGATTGATTTGAGCGCAGTTGATATCACAAAAAAAAACCGATAAAGCTTTTTCGTGATAAATGTTAAATTACTTTGTTAATGTTGTCCAGAGCTTCGGCCAATCTATCTTTTTGTGACTCTTTCAATGATCTAGAAAGATACCTTCTTGACTTATCAAGGTCTTTGCGAAATTTTTCAGTCTCGATGCTCTTGAAATTCTGAGCAATTAAAATTTCAACAACATTGGACAAAAGTTCATCTTTAAAGATTAAACCCATAATCTCATGGTAATCAAGGTCTCTGTTGAATTTTTCCAAATACTTATCCATTGGCAAAAGTTGAAATTCTTTAATGGCGTTTGTGAAGATGTGTTCCATCCAACTAGTAAAAAGATGCCACTCAACATGACAATTGACGAAGTCTTCGCCCATTCCAGCATCGGAGAACACAGCTTTCAAAGTCCTTCGCAAAGAACCAATGTCTTCTAAAAAAGTCGTCATTCTTTGATTTGAGTATCGACCAAACATTTTGAGAGTTAGAAAGACCTGTAAGAAGATGCGTTAAAAGTGGGTTAAGTGATTAAAATGAAATTTTCGGAGCATAAAGACAGAACGGAATAATGAAGTTAGATAGAAGAAATAATTTGGCAACAATAAAATACAACCAATGTAAGAATTGTTAGAACTTAAAAGACTTAACAGTAAGAGTCAACCATTTCAACCAGTTTTCTTACAGGAATTGATTGGAAGTATACAGTTCAAATGCTTTGTCTGCGTCTAAATTAAGTTGGTAAATTAATTTATTTCCAAATCATGCTCTTTCAACTTTTAATTGAGACAGAATTAGAAAGATTTAAACTCCATCCGAAGACATCTTTAAAATATCCAGTCAACAAATGATCAAATTAGCTAAGCTTTCAAACCAAAAGAAGTGTTATTATGGGTAAACGAGTGAGCGGACTTGAGAGGAAACTGACCCGTGACTACACACAGAGAAACATAAACAATGTACAATTTGGCCATTGAAGCTAGCTGGTTTTGCTGGCAAGGAAATTCAAACAGAAAAATCTGTCCTGTTCTCAGTGTCCAACAGGCATGATGTCAAATAAATTAGCTTAAGTCACTTTCTCACAAATCACATGATCAACCAATTATGATAATTTGAATAAAACTATCGAGCCAAAAACGAAAGGAATTAAAAAATGAAGACACAATCTAAACAAAGCAATGGTCTCTTTAGAAACTGATAATGTTCAAAGTGTTCATTGTAGACTTACATTGTAGATGTTTTTTTCACAGAATCAATCTGACCATTGAAAAGCGAGATAACCTTCAAGTCCGTCTTGACTAATAGTTAAATCAATCAAAATATAATGGAGTTTTAACAAGAAAGGTTGTGATTGAAGCACAAAAAGTGGAAGTAAAGGAAAGAAGGGAAAGTAAACAAATCAAGAAATTCAAAATAAAGATTAAATCATATCATTTGACATACCCTTTGATGAGTGAGGATTATATTTAACTAAACATGTGATCAAAAAACAATTAAACCAAATTTACAAGTTAACTTTCAAATAAAAATGAGTTGAACAAGTGTTTATGTTGTTATGTTGACATGTTGAAGACACAAAGTACATGAAGTGAAGAAGAAAGAATAAGAAAAAAAGACTGGAAGCAAACTTCTCTAAATTTTAGCCACTAATATCTAAAGCACAATTGTGCCTTACTTTATCTTTAACCGACTCTTTTGATTGGAGCAGTTTAAAATTTTAAAAGCTCTATTAACAAGCATTTGCCAATTTTTACTGTAAATTTTGCAATTAACAGTTTTTTTCAGACAAGGTATTAACCATTTTTCAACTTCGACTAGATTTAGTTTATAATGAACAAGAGCCAATCGTCTGCAAAAGTAAATAAACAGAGGAAATTGATTGAACTGTAGGAGGAAAAAATGAATTGATCAAGCGATTTTTAACAAAGTTGTGATTTATTGAAAAATGAAAGTTAAAAGAAAACCAGTGATTGGCTTCGTATCCTTATAAGCAAATTTGAACATGTAAAACAATTGAATGATTGGTTAAGATAACTAAAATGTTCAGTTTGACATCGTCAATGTACATCAAGTCAGAGGTCATGCAACACTTTGATTTATACTGTTGAGCAAATGTTGGGGACTGAGAAGTGAGTAATCTTCCTCACTATTGTTTCGTTTTACAAACATCACAAAGACAATCAAAGTAATAATTTTCTTTAATATCCTTTCGTCTTGCTTTGTAACCTTGAACCATTGAGGGTCCATAGCTGATTGTTATCTCCGAGTCTTTGGATATTACTTTTTTAGTGCTAATGACTACCTTTGATCCAATGAAAATACGATCACAATTAGCATTGCAGGAATGACTCAAAAGCGATGTGGTTGCATAGAGTCCAATGCCAATCTTTTTTGAAACGCCACTAGAATTATAAGACCAGATACCTTGTGAATCTAAACCACGATCATCATAGATAGCCAAACCGTTGAGAACGATTTGATCAATTAATTTTAAATAGATATCTGCAATAACATCAATCTGTTGTTCTTCAATTAGTCCCATAGCGTGAGTTAATAAAGCCATGAAGACGGCACAAGCAGTGAAAGAGGTCAATTTGGGTGCGTCGAAAACATGTGGTGAATCCATCAGAGTGTAAACATCTCTGAATGTATTTAAGAATTTTCTGAAAAGAGAAGAAAGCAAAATAAATTAGATATGAGATTTAATAATAAGGTTAATCGAAATAGTGATTCAGGGTGCAGTCAAGATTAGACTAATGTAATTGACAAATTGGTCAATATGAGATTCACTATTTCTTGGACTGAAAGGAATAACAGAATAGTTAGCTACCGTTGATGTCTAGAAGCTGGAGGTGGGTTACGATGAATTTCAATTGCTTCGTCAAATCCGGTGATCAGTAAAATTTTCAAGGCAAGATGACCCATGGCTAGATGTCGGAGAACAGGTAAGTATTTACATTCTTTGGAATGATAAGAAGTCCAGGCGGCTTCTGAACATTTAGATGAACAATATGAGATCATTTTGCATTGACGACAAGGGAACGACCTATAATCCAATGGTTTAAGGCAATAAGCACAATAAAATTCATAATGTGTAGGCTGGAGCCATGCTGCATAAGGTAATTCAGCAATTATATTTGTATTTGGTCTAAGTGGTCTAGTTGTTCTTATGCATCGTCCCTTTTCTTCAGACCAACGTAACTCTAAACTCTCAATGGCTCCATGTAGGTTACGATTCTCTGGTTTCAGGTTGATATCCCAGGACTCAAAATCCATCTCAGCAACATCTGGATCAACTGGTTGTCGTCCATCCTTTGAAGCGATTTCCACCATCAAGTTTCTTTTACTTCTCAATAATTCCTCTTTCAATCTTGGGTCAGGCATAAACTCAATAGCATCTTTCATGTCTAGCCAGCTTTCAGGATATTTTTTCAGTGATTGATGAAAACGGCTCCTTTTTACGAGGCACATAGCAAGATTCGTTTGACCAGGTGTAGCTTCGTTTTCTTGAGGAAATGGTGAACAAGCGATTCCCTGCAGAATAGAAACAGAGTTGAAAAATTTAAAAGTCAGAGAGAACAATATAAGCCTACAATGAATTTTAGTTGACGTCTATCTTTTCATTTGATAGTCTTTACATCAACAAGTGATTCATTGAAAAACAATAGATCAAAGTGATAATAACATAAATAAATTTGCATTGTTAAAGGTTTCAACTTTGATTGAGGTTAGACTTACTCGATTGAAGCACTCTAAAGCTTCTTTGACTTTATTTTGTTTTAAAAGTTCAGAGCCTTGTTTCATAAATTGTCTTGACTCAGTTAAATTCTTTGCGTTTTGTGATGACTCATTAGAGTTGACATAATCCATTGCTTTCTTAACTGCTTCCTCCATTTTTTGTTTCATCAATCTATTGTTTAAAAGGAGATCAACTCTGTCTTTGGTAGATGCAGCGTCTGCAATTTTTTGGATTAATTGCGCTGGATTTTCAGCCAATTCAAGCGGATTTGAAAATGAAACAACAAATCGCGTTGACCACGTTGGAAAGGTGTTCCAGTCAAGTTGAGGGCCACGATTAGGCGTATTGGACATTCGATCTTGCAGCGTGATCCGAAGTTTTTCAAAATCTTCTATGAATGAAGTCATCTTGATTGAAACAGTGAATCGCACTGAGAACAGAAGGTGAATAGATGAATAAACAGAGTGACTGAGTGAAAGACAGGGGAGAAAGGGTTTGATACGAGGAAAAGTAATGTACTAGGTTTAGGCAGAGACAGAGGCAAAAAAAGTGAATCACACATTCAACTTGCACCTCTATTTTAAGAAAATAGTCAAGAATTTAGGAGTCATATTTAATGAACTGGTGTGCGTTTGAATTTAAAAATAAATTACATTACGTTGGTATCAAAAGCGCCATCTGGTCTTTAAGTTATTGCATAAACTTTTTTTAAAAAAACGATTAGATAATACTTTAGGTAATGTTTAGCTAAACGGCTGATAATTACGCGATGGCTAATAAAAGAATATTTAATATCCTGAGCTTCAATTATCGTCTCGATCAATAAACTGATCAACTATTCTTAACAATTGAAATCAATTAATTTTTTCAATCCGGAAATGCGTAAAAATAATAATAGAAATAAAATGAAAGTGAATTTAGTGAGTGAACAAAGGAGACTGAATGATTTATTTAACTTTCAATTAATGATTAAGCTACATCATTAGTTGTCGATGTGTTTAAATTTTTACGAATAGAGTTGATGAAAGCCATTCCATGGACTTTAACGTGTGATTTAAGTGAAGTCGAATCAGAGCATATTTTTGAACAAATAGGACAGATAGAGACATTCAAAGTATCATTTTGAATTATCCCAAGGAGATCAACATTAGAAGAATCGTCTTTCTCACGGTAGAGATCTGGAAGATTTAATTTAACGTAATTTTGACAATCAGTGATACCATGTTGACTGATTAAATGACGATCCAATAAAGAATATGAGATGAAATTGGAACCACATTCGTAGCAAAGGTAAGGGGCTTTAGCTGTTCGGTGAATTATATAATGAGCTTGCAGTTGCTTTATTCCGTCCGCTTGAAATCCACAATGAGCACATTGATAAAGATACGATGATCCATTGAGCATAGGATCTCTATAGAGACCTGAAGATCCATTTTCCTCCAAAAATGTGGCATTGTTCATGTAATTGAAATGAGTATTCGTCACCGATTTATTTGCATCATTAACATCTTTTTGATCATTCTTTTTATGGCTGTTTACTTTAGGTCGCTTGGCGGGAGATGAGTCACTATTTCGACGAGATTGATCAGCTTGTTTTATCTCTTTAGCTTCATTAAGATCAAGAAGACGATGTTTTATTCGATAATGAGAATAAATGTCAGCAGCATTCGAGAAACGTAAGGAAGTACACCTATTGGAAGGACATGCCAAAGATGTTGTATGGAACTTTCTGAGATGTGCAAGCAGCGAATTTCTTCGTGTAAATTTTTTGTTTGAACAAATAAGACAAACAAATTGAGACTCTTCTTCAATATGTTTACTGATTCCATGATCAGCCATGTCATCCCAGCTTGAAGTGATCAAACCACAAATTTCACAGGCAAACTTTGTGGTCTTTAAATTTCCATCGTTTAATGGTTGATTTGAGATTAATGATGATGATGTTGATTTTATTGGGGTAGTCGAATTAATAGCACTTTCTTTTTCAGGTTCTTTGGAAAGTTTAATTTTATGACGATCGCAAAGAACCTTTATGAGACTAGCTTCTCGGTCAGGCTTGGTAAGATCCAGTAGATGAGCTGCTTGTAAATGAACGACAACTTGAGAGCCAGAGTCACATTGTCTTTCTCTACATTGAGGGCAAATGTATACAAATTTATACATATCTTTCGTTTGCTTCAAGTGATTTTCTATGTGATTGTAGCACAATATTTTGGACAAAAGTTCTTTCGAACAAATATGACACTGGTAAAAATTGTCACTTCGATACCCATCTTCAGATGCATGGCTTGTTTTATGCTTCTCAAAGCTGTCAATTGATTCGAATTGTTGGCTACAAGTGCTACACCGGATCAATTGTTTAGTGTGGTTTGATGTTATGTGCTCTATAAGACCGGTGATTGTACTGAAGGTGACTTTACATTGTGAACAAATGTATAAAAGTTGTCTCAGTAAGTGTTGACACTTGATGATGCAATGTGAAATAATCTTTTTGAATGACTTTTCTGAATGAAAACCACACTCTGGACAAACGTGAGGTGTTTCCATTGTGTGAAACCGCTTGTGTGCTTTGAGAGAACATGAGTTAGGGCACCAAAAAGAACAAGTAGAACACTGGAATGGTCCATGATCATTATCTAGTAAATTAAAATGTTCTTTGCGAGAAGAGACATTGAGAAAGGTTGCATCGCATTCAAGACATCTGTTTTCTTTCTTTTCTTTTGATTCGGAAGTAAATTTGATTTTGTTGTTGCGAATTGTGTTGTTGCTGCTGCTGTTACTTTCAGAAGGTTCTGGAGAAACAATGGACGGAGGATCAACTGTTTTCTCAAGCTTAATTACCACCTTTGGACCTTTAGAGCTATTTGACTCCTTGCTTTGCTCATCCTGATAAGGAGAAACATTGTCAATGAATGTAGCTTTCTCATCGGGCATCAAGGGAGATAACTTTATCTCTTTACAAACAAGGTTTGATGAAGTTTGACTTTTAAAATAATAGAACTGGGCACATCTATTGTAAAAACGTAAGGATTTGGTACCTGAAAAATAAAAGATCGATTAGAATGAGAAATAATATTGAATTTTCATTTACACTGACTCAGAATATTGGTATCAGTATCAATAAGGCCTGAGTTGAGGCTCTGAAAACTAACCTGATTCATTCAATGTACAGGTTAACTTGACAGATCGTCGATTAACATGTTGATCAAGGGATGCTTTAAACAAAAAACAGTCGCCACATGCGTCACATGAATATCTGCTGACTTTACGTCCTTCATAATCATGGCTTGGTATGTCGTGTGAGGGTGTGTATGGTTTGGGCTGCGTAAAATCCACTTTGGGTTTAGCTGTATTATCATTTTTTGTAACGTTTTTTGTAGTCCTTTTGGACCGAAAGGAGGATGGAATGGGCAATGAATTCCGTTGGTTTAACTGAGCTTGGGCCATATTAAGAGTACACCGGAAACACTCGTATAACTTTTACAAATCAGCAGGTAGGATAATGAACATATTTGGTACTATGAAGTAGAAGTGCACTAGTCTTCACTCAGCTTTAATAAGCATCGACATCTATGGTTATGATTTACCAAGAAGCTTCGATGGAAAGAATTTAGAATGGCAAAAAATCCTTTGTATGGAAATTTTCTTTTACGCCACAATACAGGAGAAAAAAGGTTTGCTGACTACCAAGTATGATCTTTGTCCTTTTGGTACCAGAGCCAGATGAACTTGGTGAGAGTGTCAAACCAATCAGAGGAGGTAGGGGAGAAGTCTAGAAGATAAAGAGATTATAAGTTTGAGATCAATTATAAGAACAGTGAACACTGAAAAAGATCGAGGGAACATCAAGTAAACATGACTATCAAGCAAGTGAAGATAAAAATTTGAGTGAAACCGCGTCACTTGATTCACATGCTTGTAAACACGTCTTCTTTGACTGACCCTCTCATACTTACCAATATCAATCAATTATAGACTATTTCAGAAACTAAATGATACCAGAATATTGTGTTCAAATCAAGGTTGAACATATACAGCGAGTTGGAGATGAATTATCAAAAATTGAGGTTTGTTTGTTTCAAAGCGACTTTTACCAAAAGAGCAAATACAAATGGAAAAGGAAGGCACAATTCAAAGAGCGTAATCAAAATTGTTCAACGATGCTTATTGTTATCGGGAAGCTTTATGTAAAGTGTAATTCATGAAGCCGAACCATAAATTCCTAGAGAAAAATAAAAAAACATTAATTTTACTTGACAAAAGACGGTTGGTCAGCACTCATGGTCAATATTTGAACTCAAAACCATTCGCAGAACTGGTTGAGGGGTTAAGCAAGGGTTGTTTCTATGTTTTTCAAATGTACTTACAGAGAGATAGAAAAGAAAGGAAATAAGAGACCTTAAGATGTTATGATGAAATGGCAATTCCTTGAAATGATAGAGAAGATTTTTAATTAAACTTGGTTGGCTAATTATAGATGTTGGTATATACTATAGATTTAACAATTAAATTAATAGAAATACAATATTTTAATATTGAAACAAAAGATGTAACATTTTAAAGAATAAACAATGGTAAGACTGTTAAGTATTTTAGGCCTGTTTGGATCTACAGTGAGAGCCATCACCACATGCCAAAAAGATCTGCATCTTACTCTCCTTTAACCTCGTTAATCATTCTGATTATTTTACTTTACTGTCTGCAAAGTTGATTGGAAATTTTCTCCTCTGATTTTAAAGAAGCCCTTTTTTACAATATAATTATTAAAAATTATCTTATTGTTACGCATAAAATTAGACTAGAAATGTTAGATTTTTGATCGTCTGATCTACTCTGAGTAATGCTAGTAATTGAAACTGTTCACTTTTGTATCACTTCAATCGCCAATCATTTCAATTATAGGCTATTTGAATTGGAACAAGTACAAAATTTATTGATATCATCTCAATGTTAATAAAATACAATTTTTGATGGATATGATCATCAGAGAAAAATGAAGGTGCATTGAAAAATTTCAAATTCGCATTCGTTTACCATTTTGTCGACTTTTCTGAGAAGTAATAGGATAATTAGATGCACCAAAATAGGCTCCATTGCTATTACCAGGTTGTACATTAGCATTGATTCCAGTTATGATACCTCCATTTGTATAATCTGTAAATTCATTATTAAGAGTCTCCGAAGATAAACAATTTACATCGCTCTGTTCAAATCTCAATCTGAAACCAGACTTGGATTCAAAATCATCAATGCTATTGAATGTCCGTCCTGTTCCAGAGTGAAATCTCAATACAATGGGCCCATAAGCTTTGGTAACCAAAGGAGCTGTATTTTCACGGCCTTCCATATAGTTAAGAACACCTCCACAATAGCGATCAAAGGTTCGCCCATCTCCAGTTCTCGAAGCTCCTGGGATTAAAAGGTAATCAGTAGAGCATTGATTATCACCGACACCAGACATGTGCTGATTAACGCCATCTGAACGAGTAATTGACCAGTCCCCTGGAGCTGAGCTGAAGGAGACTCTACAAGTATTTGACATTCTTTCAATACAGATGGCATAATCTAAATTATTGAGATATTGGCCAAAATTAAAGCTTTCAATGACTCCGGAAGAAGTGGTGAAATATTGAAGACAGCCTGGTGGTGCTGGAACGGATACTTTCAATTCGGCTCGAGGAGAAAATAATTGTCTTCGAACTCGTTGACGAGATCCATTAACCTCTTGAATACATTGGATTTGTGTCGCTCTGATATGCCATCGATAACCTCCATTACTATTGGTCATAAAGAGTAAAGAAGCAGACCGTTCTTTTTCACCTTGAGGAAGGTTGATATAAACTGTTGATTCGCCAATCCATTACAATCAAGTTTATTGTGAAGATTAACATGAAATAAAGATGAAAAACAAAAGTAGATTAGTTTTGATGAGAAAACAAGATAAATGATTGGTTAGGTGATAACATGTGATGATGTAACTATGAGATGTAAAAAATTGTCACTGTTACAAAATTTATTAATTAAATTCACCAATAAGATTTGAATGCTTTTGTGACTCAATTTTTTCATAATCGATCTAATTAAAGATGATTTTATTGCACTAAGTGTGAAGTTTAACAAGTGATTAACGTGTTAGCATTCAATGAAGTTGCTTGAATCGACCCTTCTCATTCATCTTTACATCAAGAATCATAACAAAAATGAGCCAAAGCAAATCAACTGTTTAAATGACTAGAGAGGAGGATAAAGTAAATACAATGTAATGTTGAAAATGAATAACACTTACGATGTTGATTGCGATTAAGTCCACAAAGAGTTGGAATACTATTTGTTGCTAATCCAGTTGCTGATACTGAAAATTTGTCTCCCAGACATTCACCGTTTGTCGGTGGATCTAATTGTAAATCAAGAAGATCAAGACGAATCTGACAAACATTTGTATCTTTAACTTCAATAGTTAAATCACAGTAATTAGGTTGAGTATCAATTGATGGATAAGATGGATTTTTAAAATAGACCACTTTTTGGGAAGTCGTATTATGGCAAGATCTTGAAATGATACAACAAGTTCCATAACCTTTGGCACAACTCGCAGTTCCAGTTCCACCATATGCTTTACACTCGGCCGAAGTATAACAGGTACCACTTTGATTGGAGGCATCAAAACATTCATCATTTGGAAAGGTAACAATGTGAAATATTGATGGACGAAACAGAGATGGGCGCAATAAACGAGCTCGATCGTTATTGTTGTTGTGATAATGATCTTGCGTTAAATTTGTGGGTAAATCAATTGGCTCGGGTGAATTGTACTGACAATTGGCCAAATCTGAGAGCAATAGAGTTTTCAATAATATCACTATTAAGTAGACTAACATAATTTATTAAAGTTGAAGATGGCTTTTGATGAAGATGGTGGAAATGATAAGTTGATTTGTTGGTAGACTTTAGAATGAAGTTTCAACTGTTAACTTTCGGATCAACTTTATATTTGACTCGATTCTTTCATGTAATCACATTATTGTTTGAGTTAACTTGATCACTGCCCCGGGAAAACCTCATGTTATACCTTAAATTGTAATTGTTATTATCGGTAATATTAGTTTTATGTGGCCTTATTTTTCTCGCTTTCTTTCTGTTCCTTTGCCATCTTCATAATTTCTTCCAGTATGAATAATTCTTATTTGATTTCGACTTTACAATCAACAATTAACATGAATGCTAAGAGAAAAATAAAAGACTGAGAAAGAGGTTACTAGCTTTTGGTGTTGTTTGCAGTTAAATATTTGTTAATTGTTAAAAGGTATTTATATGTTAGATTATTGTTTCTCAATTTTATAATAAAACTGGGTGATCAACTGAATACTACAATATAATAGCAATTTGTTTGATCTTTAGCTATTTTTACCCGTTAACAAGAAAGTGTGAATATTTATACTGTTAAACTTGAGCATAAATCATTGGGCATTGTTTGATTTGCTTTGTTTGGTCTATCCTCTTCTCGGGCTCTTGGTAACTGAATCAGCGAAAGGTGTTGTTAGTGTAATTTAATATAACCGATAGTTATCATAATTGCGGACTTTCCTCAATTTGTAAATGTATTGTTAGATGAGCTGAAATTCCTTTATAATTCCACTTTTAGATTTGACACAGAATTAATTAAACAAAATTGACTTAAGTAATTGATTGAGCAAGCTTAAAGTTGATCCGTTGAAATTTGTCCAAATGATTGATTCAGATTTAGATCAAGATCTATTCAAAAAAATGAGTAGAATCACGACAAATGAAGGAACAAGAAATATATTTCAAAAGAAAAGTTCCGATTTCGCTTTTAGAGACAGGCTTTGTTTATAACAGGTAATGTTTATAAACTGACTTTTCAGTTTGAACATGAATTGAATATAAAATTGTCGTACCAATCAAATCGTAATGATCAAAAAGTTAACCTGCTGATAAATAACAAAATAGACAGAGTCTGATTCGAATATCCAATTAATTAAAACCAACTTTTATGTTTGTAAAGAACAGATTAAGGAAATTCAACCATTGAGAGACGTCTTAATCTTTTGGTTCATCCTCAATAGAAACTGAGACATTGAATGTGTTATCAATAAATTGATATTTACCAAAAGTCCATCAAGTGCGTATTCTTCACGTGTCAGGTTTAAATTCTAGTAGAAAAACAAAAATATTAGAACTGAGAATATACAAAAGATAAAAAATATATTACTTTTTAACGATTTGAACAACGTCTTCATCATTCAGGACGTGGTCCTTTCCAACTTTTTGAGGAAAATGTTTCACTGATGAACCCCAAACCAGAGCACTATACGAAAAAAGAGATTTTACGTTTTAGATCAAAATTGATGGTTGAACGATTTAATTTGGTTACTCACTATTTGAATTCTTTTATAATAGTTCGATGAAGTTTATCACAAAAGTCTTCAACTGTTTTTCTATCCTCGCCAAGAATAACAGGAGAACCATAATCCGGAAGTTGACCCTTGGGTTTGGTATAGCTGCAAATTAAGAAAAATAATTAGATTTAAAGGTTCAAAGTATTAAAGTCCATTTTCAAAATAACTTACATCCTAACTAGCTTGAGATATTCCCAAGTTAATTCCAGCAAATCATCAAAATTCCATTTATGATGAGCAGATATAGGCACTGTGTGAGGTATTTTGTAAATGATATCTAACTCTTCAATAGATATCTGGTCAATTTTATTCAACACGTAAATACACGGTATATAGACTCGGTTGCCTTCGATAACATCGACAAAATCATCACAAGTAACATCAGATTTTAGAACAACATCAGCATTATGAATACGATACTCGGACAAAATAGTTTTAACGGTTTCAAGGTCAAGTTCAGATTGTTGGACAAGAGTCTGAAGGGCGATGCCACCCTTTTCTTTCTTCCGGAAAGTAATGTTTGGAGGCTTTTTGTTTAATCTGATACCAAAACCTTCCAATTCCTTTTCAATCAATCTTTTGTGAACCAAAGGCTTCAGAACATCCAGAACAATATAAATTAAACTGCAAGTTCTGGCAACAGCTATAACTTGTCTACCTCGACCTTTACCGTCTTTGGCTCCCTCAATGATACCAGGTAAATCTAACATTTGGATTTTGGCTCCTTTATATCGAATCACACCAGGAACTGTAGTGAGGGTTGTGAATTCATAAGCTGCAACTTCCGAGTAGACACCAGCCAAATTGCAGATTAAAGTTGATTTACCTACTGAAGGAAAACCAACAAAACCAATTCGTGCGTCACCAGTTTTAGCGACATCGAAACCTTCTCCAGCAACACCTCCACCACCTTTTGGTGTGATTAATTCTCGTCGTAATTTTGCTAAACGAGCTTTCAAAAGACCGAGATGACCCATTGTAGCTTTGTTTCTTTGAGTCCGGGCCATCTAGAAATAAAAGAGATAAACCATTAATAATGGCACAACAAACACTACAAGATAATAATTACCTCAGCCTCGATGGCCGCTATTTTCTCCAGGGTAGACATTTTAAAAATTCACAATTCAAGTACCAATGCAAATGACTATTGAAAAGAGAGAGGCAGAGAGAAGACAAATCAAATCAAATCAAATTAGAGATGAAACAGTAAACAAGATTGTCAAAAATAATTACCAAAGTTAGATGACGTTGATAAAACGGTAAGAAAAAGATCTTACGAAGAAAAAATATGCAATATTAAATCCTGAATTAAGATAAAAACAAGAAATTCTCATCACACGTTTAAACCCTAAACTCGGATCGCGACTACCGGTTGAGTTGCCACTTGAAAATATACCATGAGTTAAATATTGAGTCAATATTATGAGTTTCAATCGACAATCACCACCTAAATGTATCACTAAATCACCAAAATAAAGATCCGTGAATAGTGACGAATAGATTTAAGTACGGAATTATTAAATTAAAATTACATGTGGAATTGGGTATTGATTAATCGAAGATCGATTTAAATCGAGAATCGGCTACTCTATGCTAGATCGATCAGAATTGGCGCCAGCTTCAAAATTCTATCAGAATATTCAAGCATCAATATTTTTATTTCTCATAATCTAGTTTTTATTGAAATTTGGAGACCTTAATGATAAAGAAGAGTGATAAATTAAAACCCAAGAATTTCAATAAATCGTTTCTTGTTGATTCGCCGAAAAAGAGTTTCATTTTTAAGAACGATTTGTTTTGTAGCGATTAATCGGGTTAATCGCTATAAAACAGTTTAAGAGGGATTTTGAAATACAATAATCATGAGTCCGAATTTTGAATGCATTTTCATTAATTTATTTATGAATTGCCTGAGACAGAAACAATTTATAGACAAGATAGTTGATAAGGAGGGTAAGCTTTCCATTAAACAAAATTGAGGACAGGGAAGGTTTTGAGGAAAAAATTTATTGATAAATGAAAAAATCATAGAAAATGAACATAACCACTGAAGTGATCGTGATTCCAAAGCATAGTTCCCAAAAACCGTGTGATCTTTGATGGGTCACATTTGACTGATCCCAAAATATAGTTGTCTGTACTGGTCCTGGTATAACGGACAACATCACAATATTCACTCTCTTCCAAATCTCTATGGAAAAGGATGACATGGGCCCAATTTGAATATTTTTGACCTCGATGGACTGATTTTTCTTCATTTTTGAACGCTAACCATGTCTCGAGGAACCAGAAAAAGACTAAAGATTCGTTTGGTGCACATTGATTATAACCATTGCGATAAGTTTCAATGAAAACTTTTTTGAACCTTTTTTTCAATTCTTTTTCTACCTTTTCTATGAGAAGAAAATCATCATCTACGATAGAAGACATTGGTATCAATTTAACGGTCCTCATTTCTGGGAAGAAAAAAACACAAAATTAATATTAATATTAAGCCATTCTGAACCAATCAATTTAGAGAGTGTAATTTAACAACCTTTTAGCATTCCTTCAACAGCGTAAAGATCCTTTTTGTAAGTCACTTTAAATAGTTGTGAAGGTGATCCTCGAACCACTTTGGTCTTTACATCGGTATATTTTCGTACTAAATCCATGCATTCAGTCCCATTATCTAAATCAACATCGGTAGCACCATCATAAGCTTTTTTAATCACATCATATCTAAAAACCTGAGGCATTTCACTCTGTTTGAAGAGATTCCTGTCAAGTATATCAGAGACAAAATTTTCTTCGTCAACTTTCAATGTAGTTGAAACCAAGTCACAAATCGGCCCAGCAGCCTGAAAATCGAAAGAATAATAGAAATACAAACATTAGAAGAGAATGAGTAAACTCCTAATCAATTTGATTCTCACCCCATTTTCTTGTGCTATTTCAATTAGCTGTGTCAGTAAGTTTGAGTCAACCAAAGGTCTAACTCCGTCATGGATGATAACTAGTTCAGGTCTATCTATTGAAAAGAATATGACAATGAATACTAAAATGTATATTGAATTGATTAAATTTTACCAACCTGGTCTTTTGTGAAGATAATTTAAAGCTGTGTTGATTGAACGATGTCGACTATCGGAACCCAAAATAACAGTCAATGATCCTTTCTCAACCTGGTTTGAAAAATATGACAGAACTTCCTCGCGAACGAGACTCATATATCCTTCTGGACATACAACAACAATAGTTAAACCATTTCTTAATCTGTTGAATAAATAATAAATGATAGAATAGTTTAGAATGTTGTGATGTTGAAAGTTACAGGCTATTGGTGTAACCTCAGAATACTCACACTGTCGATGATAATCTGAAATAAAGAAAGAAGAAATTAAAGTTATAGCTGAAAATTTCGATACGGAGTTCAATTTTGAAATTATTGATTGTTATTGAGACTTACTTGACAAATGTACTTATTGTATAATAAAGCAATGGTAGGCCGTCGACTTTTACAAATTGTTTTGGAGGTGAAGCATCAAAACGAGATCCTGTACCAGCAGCTGGTACGATAACTCCAATATTCATTGTGATTTCAGAGTAACTAATTCAGAATTTATCAACTGGATACCTTCAGAATTGATCAATAACAATGTCACAACTGTTGCCAATACTGACAGATGAACATGATATCTATGTGAAAATTGAAACACTGGAAAGGAAAGTGCACAACACTCATTTATGAGGATTGTTATCAAGATAAAAATGCAAAATATATTTTCTTTATTGTCCGGACAGATCAAGATTTTTTCAAACTGACCAACTAATTGAACTAAATTTTAATAAACAATATAGAAGAATAATAATTACCAAAACCAAAGTGAGGATGGCAGAAAATCGAGTGCTCGATCGATCGATCTTTGAGAGTAAATGTTTTATGTAAACATTCAGTGTTTACATTTTTTAGATATTTTAAGATAACTTGCTGTTAGAATAAGCCGTTTAAACTATTCTCACGAATTAAACGAAGAAAGATGTTGAAAACATCGAAATTGATACACTTTGGCAATTGTGAGTCGTGAACTACGTTATATGCAGTCACTTAATGTGAATCATAGCTAAATGAATCGCTCTAAACTGAAAAAGGGACGAAAATATCAATTTAACAGCGATTTTTGAAGTTGTTTACCATTCAATAGGCCTTTCTATCGAGTCTCACACAGAAATAGTAATGACAAGTTAATTAACTTTTATGGTCAACCAATAAACTATGAAGAGGTGTATGGACATTACATTTATCCCTAACAAAGTGAATCAGGCTTAAATCAGGCCCAGTTTTAACAAAGTTTGTAGTTTTTTTTTGAATTCCAAGTATTACTGATATTATCTGAAAAAAAATCAAATCTTCTATCTGATATTTTTGATAGCATGTGAAAATCGCGATAGAAAAGTAAATAAAGATGTTTCTTCTACTTCGTGCAATTAATTACTGCCGACCACGAGTTTCTAAATCGACCATCCAAGTAAGTTTCATAAAATTTGACAAGCTTCATCAACAACACTCTTCTTGACGCGAATCTCAACAAAATTTTGTGATATTTTGATTATGAGCCTTTGTTCATCTGTCATCACCATTCACCGGTTTCTGATTCGATCTCGAAGTGTTTCATTATTAATGGTTATCGATGTTGACTCTATTATAATGTCCTATTTTTACCCTTTAACAGGTTCTATGCTCTCGCTGCAATTCAAACTCAGCTGCAAGATGGTTGATTACCAAAGGAAGGCAACAAAAGCTTGATCGAATGAAGTCTGAAATCAATAAATCATGGGAGCCAGTTTATCGAAATCCATTTATAATTCCAATCACTCTTGTCGTTAGATGTAAAATTTATCATACAATATTCACCTGTTTAGTGTTCGCCACTTCGATTTACTATTACCTAGAAGGTTCCGTTCAAGCAACCCAAGTTGCATATATGGGCATTGCTCTATCGATTGTTTTACTAATACTCTTTGGATATAGTATCTTGTATCAGAGAGTTATCGGCATTGCCTATCTTTCTAAAGACTCGAAGCTTGTTCGATTAGCTCATCTTGATTTCTGGGGAAAGCGAATCCACTCTGATATTTCTATTAATAACATCGTTCCCCTCTCTGATGTCAATCTCAAGCTAAATACTTTTCATCTAAAAGTAGCTCGTTATGATTCAAGGCAAGTTTATTATATGAATTTAGGTCCAAAAGCTGTTTTGAATCCAGAAAATTTTACATTGATTTTTGGTTATCAACCCCACTCAGGTTATAATGATGTAGACCATATAAGCAAGAATATCAAAGAACAAGAAAAAGATGCAGCGAATGAATCTGAATATCAGGTAGAGTCAAATAAAAAGACTTCCGAAACATGATTTTATGTATATAGAAAGCAATGACTTAACGAAAACATGTATAGTATGAATAAATGACAAAACTGAATGTTCTGAACCCTTGAATATAAAAATTAACCAAATAAAACTTTAATAAATCAAAAAAAAAAAACAATATGAAAGTATAAACTTTGTAAATAACCAGTAACTAAATCAAAATAATTGTAGTTCAAACCATAATCTGAATGATCATCCTGGATCAAGGAAAATCTAAACTGAAACAAATTCCTTTTAGATATACGCAAATGCTGTGTAATGATTCAATAGGAATTAAGAGTTGGTTGGACACATTAATGCACGTCAGATTAAAAAGCTTTAAATAATGGTGCAGGGTTAAGGATATATTTGGCATAGACAAAAAATATGATTGAATATTGAATTTTAGAATATTATTATTAAATTGTAACCATAATTATCTATTTAACTAAGCTTTTCAACTTAGGAAACAGATATAACTTCAAATTTTATTCCATTTTCATTTAACCGGTCAACAATTGATGTTTTGGCGAAAGCAACTCCGGGAGTAAGAACACCTCCACTTCCAGGTAGCTTGTCACGTTCTTCGAGCAATGTAACACCAGCAAATAATGCTGAAATAGCTGCTGTAGGATATCCAGGATTAGGACCTGTGATTCTGGTCACTATTTCACCATCTGGAGGTCTTGTGGGTTGTTCAAGAGGATCGGCAATTTTTTCTTTCCACCCTCGGCCTTTAAGAATTATCTCGAATGAAGAACTGAGTACTTCTTCTCTAGATGGACCACCTCGACTATGAAAAATATTAAATTAGTGAATTAGGATGATAAGCGATTATCAATTTAAGTTTTAATACTCACAGAAATAGTCCCCAAGTGAAGAAACGCGGATAGTCATGGAGAAGTTTACGACCAAATTTAAAAGGAACCAGAATCATGAAAAGAGCGACAGAGATGAGAGCTTGAAAGACAGCTTTAAGAGGCATGTAGGTATATGCTTCCATCTGAACAGGTCGTTCTTTAAAGAAATTGTAGGAATGTAGTTGAGATCGTTTTACAACTGAACGATCACTACCAAGGAAAGGTATGTATAATTTTCCGTCTCCATCGCGATACAGAAATTTTCTTGCTATCGGGTAGCGTGTTTTAAATTGTCGAATGTTACCAAAAACTTCAGGAAATAGCTTACGTCGGAGAGGTCTTAATTCATGTGAATGATGGAAACCTTCAATGATGCAATCCCAAGTAGCTGAATTTGCTTTCAATCCTTTTTTAAAACTTCCTGATAGAAAAGTTTCCACAGTATCTAAAGTTCCGGGAAATTTTGATTTAGTGAATTCAACACCAACATCACAGGGTAAACTGTCAAATCCACAGGATGGAAGTATATACAGATTTCTTTCACGAGCGATATCATAGTATCTAAGTTGAATCTCTTCTAAAAACTGAGGTTCACCACAAAAATCGATATAATCAGTTTTACTTTCTGGTAAGAGAAACCAAATAGACACGACAAATTAGTGCAAATAGTTCAAAATGAGGCCGTTGTTTATCGACTGTTGATCATCGACGGTAACTTTGACATCACCTATCATTAGAATAATTTTACAAAATTCATCACCAACAAGGTTTTGGTCATGAGATTCTTTTAAAATAACTCACCAATACAAGCTTTAACGACTGGTTCACCGAAACTTCGATAAGGTCCAACACAGCTAACCAAAATTTTAGCTCTTTTAGCCATTTTAACCAATGATTCATAGTCACTGGTGTCTGCCTGAATAACTTCAATTGAATTGACATCATAGTCCCTTATTCCAGAATAATCAAGAGACGTCGAAAGAGAAGCTCGAAGTTTTGTTTCATTTCGCCCAGCGACTGCCCAAGTAAATTTTGGACCGTATTTAAACAAATAACGAAAAATCTCTTCTACAACGTAAATTCCTGTATAACCAGAAGAACCGAAGACAACTAAGCTAAATCGTTCCATACTCTTCGAATGACACACAGTTTTTCAGAGAAAGAACAATGTAGATTTTATGGGGATAAACAGAATTGATAAAATACTTTTATCATTTTATTTTATTGAATAAACATAACGTTAATTTGGAATCAGCTGAGCTAGTGATCAAATTTTGAAGTCGTCCAATGCCATCTATCGTCAGTTTCGCCTACAAAAAGTATCTGATAAAATATCAATGATAAATCTGAGAGTTGACTATCGAGTCCTTTCAATAGTGAGTTTGCAATGAGCTCGAAGTGTGGTTAGAATCGGAATATGATTAAATTTCATTCGTTGTTCAGCTTATTCAGGAACAATTGCAATTATATTTATACTGTTCAATGTCACGGACATTTATCCATCATTCAATGGCTTAAAATTTGGAATTACTGTTAATATGTTTTATCAATTTGTCTCTCTTGAAAAGCTCAATGGATTACAAGTGAACATGATTATTTGATGAGTAAGTATGTGTTAAATTATAATTTTTATCTATTCTGTCCCATTATCACATGTCAACATTAACATTTATTCCGTTTAAACATGGATAATTTGATTTTCTTCTCAAAATCGATTTGTCAATCTTGTGCGTTTACTTGAGAAACGTAGTAACGTTAAACCTGATATTGATTTATTTTCTGCTCTAAATTGATGTTTACAAATATTTGTCTGAACAAGACAGAGAATAGATTTGGTTATATTAGGCTTGGCCTCCAAATGATAATCGAATTGAGAACATAGAATCTATGTCTATTTCAATAATCTGCTTCTGTATTCTAATCGTGAAAGTGCTCTAAGTCTTGGCATCATAAACAGATAATTGAAATTCAACCCATTTCCTTTATCGATATTGGTGGAAATGAATAACTCAAGGATTTTCCATGACGTTGTTCTTTATATTGTTATTAGTTAGTTGACTGAATCTATTAAATGTCCTATAATAGAACGGTATATGCCTGACGATTTACTTGAATTGTCCACCATTGTTCAAGTTCAGGTGCGATTCCTCTTTAAACGTCAAGTATAAACCACACTTTATCTGGTCCAGTGTGAATTGTTTCATTGAAACAATTGTTTTTTCTAAATTTCATTTCACTGTTCAACTTTAGTGATTTTACAAATAAATGAGTCAAATGAAACTCGTGAAGCCTGAATTAAGCTATCTTTTATTTCATGAGCATAGAGAGAAAAAACTAAACAAACAAACATTCGGCTAATTTGTCAAGTTGAACGTGTTATGCATCAAGAGAAGAAAAGTCTGACATTGAATAAAAAATTTCTAGTTCCATGCCTCAGTCTCTATCAACTGATTGAAATGACTTTATATACCAAGATTTATCTAAATGTCAAATCTCAATTCTCGATTATTAGACTTATGTAACCAATCTTTTTTTTAATCACAATGACAAATCAATGCCATTTTCATTCTATCTATTCATTGGCTATACATCTAACCAAATCGTGATCAGTTTATTCATATCCTTGACAGTGTACAAAACAAATAACCAACAAATTTGAACCAATTACAATCAATTTACCTCATTTTATCGTCATAAATCCAACATATGTTTAAGATTGATAACTAATCGTGTCTTTTTTTTATCTACAGACAAAAATTGGAAAGGTGCCAAAAAAATTACGCCAGCCATCGCAATTATAATCAAAGATGTTGCCCTCATCGCCTCTATGTTTCTTAATCATCTCCGTTATTATCATAAATTCAATTTTTCCGGTGTTGATATTTGCCTCAACCCTTAATCCTAATGTTACTGTTAACTTAACATCAAGTACAATCAACTCTACACTCCATCCTGTTAGGTAAATACATTTCAATAATTAATATCTTAAACAGTTTTCTTTACTGCTGATATTTTTAGTCTTCAACATTCAATTTTGATGTTTCTTTTGTTCATTTACGATTGAGGTTCAGGGTTTCGTTTTATTTTCTGCTTGTAAAACAGCTAACATTTTCAACAACAATATTCGTCTAAATGATCTTAAATTGATCGTCATAATAGCCAACTAACCGCATCGTTAATCGAAAGAAGGTTAGAAAAGAGGATAAAAAAAGTTAACGATTCAACTAAAATTGTATTTCTTATTTGAAACAAATTGTAACATTGAAGGAAACCATTCAATAATATTATTACCATTTATTTTTCTTTCTACAATTAACACTTTTTGCCCCAATTCGCTTACAGTGTAATGATTATCTGCTTTTATCATTATTTTATCTAATTGTTGCTTTAATTATCTCTTTATTTCTTAACCTTCTACCAACAGTACCTTAGTTTCAAATAATGGAAGTCTCAATGAATCGACAATTACAACAACACCTATTCCGCCAGTTACAAATGTCACTGAACCATCGACAAATGCCAGCCTCACTACAGGAACTTCAACAATCTCGGTTAACCAGAGGTTACCACAAAAAGGTTCAGCAGAGGAAGAACATCATTCATCTATGGCTATTTTTTTCGTACTCTCTGTGATTGGTAATTAATCGTAATTGGTTTAGTTTTTTTGATTTGATTATTAACGTTTTTTTCTCATTTCTTTCAGTTCTCTGTATTTTTGTGATACACTTTATACTTCAAACCAAGTTTCACTATATTCCAGAAAGCTTGGCTGTGGTTTTACTTGGAGCTTTAATTGGTTTAGTAACAAAAATGATCTCAAATCAACATTTAGGTGATTGGCAAAGAGAAGAAATGTTCAATCCAACGACTTTTTTCCTTCTTCTTTTACCTCCGATAATGTATGAATCTGGTTACAATTTGCACAAAGGTAATTTCTTTCAAAATATTGGGCTCAATTCTTGTATTTGCCATTGTTGGAACCACAATATCTGCACTAGTCATTGGTGGAGGAATTTATATTCTTGGATTGGTTAGTAAGATTATTAAATTACGTTTTTATATTTGCTGAACGTGACTTCTAATCCTATTTACTTAATAACATTATTTCTTATTTTCATTTTACCTTCTATTTTACCCTAATGGTAATGTCATTTCTCTCTATATTTTATTTGTCAAACAGATGAATGCTGTCTTTTGCTTATCCTTCAGTGAAAGCTTCGCCTTTGGCTCATTAATCTCGGCTGTTGATCCTGTTGCTACTCTGGCAATATTTCATGCTCTCGATATTGATCCAGTTTTAAACATGTTAGTATTTGGAGAAAGTATTCTCAATGATGCTGTATCAATCGTTTTGGCAACGACAGCTTTAGAAGCTGGACAATCTACCGGTGTTGTTTTATCAACAGCAGGCGCAGTTTTTCAAGGAGTTGGTCGCTTTTTCATCGTCTTCTTTGGCAGTGCAGCTATTGGAGCGACCTTTGCCTTTATTGCAGCCCTTATATTCAAATATGTTGATCTTCGTAAAAATCCTTCATTGGAATTTGGAATGATGCTTGCATTTATTTACGCTCCTTATGGACTTGCTGAAGGAGTTCATCTTTCTGGTTGGTTTTCATTTTCATCAAATAATCAATATAATTGGTTTAACTAATTTTCGTTTTTTTTATTTTGTTTTTACAGGTATAATGGCCATTCTTTTCAATGGAATTGTGATGTCTCACTATGCTCATTACAATTTATCTCCTGTAACACAAATAACAATGCAACAAACTCTAAGGACACTTGCATTCATTTCAGGTATAAACGATGAATTGATTTTATGCTAAAAAATGGTAAAAGAAGTTGAATTTGCATTCACTCTCGGCTTCTCTCAACCATAAAATGTATCGCTTTCATAACCTTAAAAGGTTGTTGTTTCAACGAAAAATGTCACAACCTCCATCAGTTTATGATTAAGATTTTTCACTTCAATTACTGTTAATATGATAATAATTGAAGTGTTGGAAAGCTAATAACACTAATTCAACTAATTTTACAACACTTTTTCATTAACTTTTCATTGATCAATCTTTTTTTTCTTTTTCTTTTTTTTACAGAAACATGTGTCTTCGCCTATTTAGGCTTAGCTTTGTTTAGCTTTCCGTTGCTTCTGAAACCATCCTTCATCATATCGAGTGTGATACTTTGTTTGCTTGGTCGAGCAGCCAATATTTATCCATTGTCATATTTCTGTAATTACTTCAGAGAACACAAGATTTCTAAAAGAATGATGTTTGTCATGTGGTTCAGCGGACTTCGAGGTGCAGTTGCTTACGCAGTTGCTCTTCACTTGGAGATTGAAAATGAAAAGAAGAGAGTTATCGTAACAACAACATTGATAATCGTTTTATTCACAATAATTTTTCTTGGAGGTTTAACAATGCCGTTAATGAAGGTCAGATTTATTTGATTGATTTACTCGTTGATTATTTCCTAACAAATTTTCTTTTTCTTGCAAATTTTAGTTTTTGAAAGCTGATAAACGATCCATAAGTCGGAGAGGAAGAAAGAGCAGCAGCTCAAGAAAGATAACTTTAAGCAAAACTAGAGAAATGGTGAGTTTACATTTGATTTTGTCCAGTTTCATTGAAATAACAATATTAATTTTACCTTTTCAGGGCCAAACAATTGAAGCCGATCATCTAGCTGATTTAACTGAAGATGAAATCGAGAGTAATTTTCTAAGAAATAATTTAAGTGGTTTTGTAAAATTGGATGTTAAATATCTCATACCTTTTTTCACTCGACGATTCACTGAACAGGTTAGATCAATAATAATTGATGCTTGCAGTTTAAATCAAGTTGAACTTGTTTATTATTCTCTATAATCGCAGTTCTTTCTTGATTTATCTGCTTGTTGTTGAATTCACATTAACCTTTTGCTTTTAATTTTCCCTTATTTTTTCATCATAATTGTAGGAAGTAAAAGATTGTCGTTCACAGATGAGTGATTTAACAAATCGATGGTATCAAGCTGTCAGAAGGCCATCTGATAGTGAAGAGGAACATGATGAAATAAATGCCAACCATTTAATTAATTAGATTGTAAAATGACTTCTCTACAAGCATCAAAGACAAAAACTAGATAAAAACGATCAAAGCTTTTTGTACAAAATATATTTGTATAAAAGTTGCCATTTACGAACGATCCAATTTCAATAACTGGTCATTGATTGGACCCAGCTCATTCAAGTATCTCATTGTTTAACACTTTTGCATTTAGAAACGGAATCTGATTTATTAATATTACAAACCAAGAGAAATCACAAGAAACTTTCTATTCATAAAACTGGGAAAGTTGAATAAAATCAACCGAACTTGAATCGATCTCATTACTCAATGCAATATCACATATTAAGGATTAATTCCCAATCAGGGAACCAATTGAGATGATTCTTGTGAGCACAAAAGTAAAAATTTCCTACTCGGTTTTGGTTGAGATTCACATTTATATAATTACAATACAAAACCTCTACATAATTAGCTTGGAACAAATTGAAACATTGAGCTTCATTATTGGACAGATCATGAACCATGGAATCAATAATTTTAAAATAACTCTTGCTATGATGATCAAGCTAAAAGTCAAATTGAACTGTGATGACAGGAATTGAATGATTCCTAGTTTGTTCCATATTCACCTTTTCATTCCTCGTCCAAATTATATTATTTCTGTTTTTGTTTTTTTTCAATGTTAAATTTATAAAACCTTGTCTTCATTTAAAAATCAAAAATTTTATCTCTAATTTGATTCAAATGATCAATAAAATTTATTCACAAAACGTTTTTTCACTCTCATTCCCATCTCCAGTTGATATCTCAGATTTTCCTCTTTAAATATTCGACGGACAATTTTAGAAATTCAATTTTGATATAAATCATCTTTTGGTGAAACAGTGTTCGACCTAAATACACACACCAGTAAAATCAGTTTAAAATTTTTTGAAATAGCTTTTAAGGAAAGATAAAAGTTGCCCGAATTTTTAGTAATGACAAAAAAGTCAGACAGATGTCAGGTTTTTATTTAGTCATTAATCGGTTTCAATCAATCAATCAGTTTGAAAAATAAAATAAAATGAAAATTGAAGCCACTTTACTTGATATTACTACGCTTTTACGCTGTGATTAAAATCAATAACATTATTCAATATGCACCAAAAGTCTACAGAAATTAAAACGTAGAGTTGAATACGCGAATAATACCAAAGACATGACACGATAGACTCTTAATATCAGTCCTGTATCCATGAAACACTCAGTCAGCATTCAATATTAGAAAATTCCACCTTCGGTTCATAAAAACTAAATTATAATAATTTTACTTACTATATTTTGGTTCCACATACTAATGTGACTTACAGTTATCGACAAAAAAAGTTTCAGCACTTTAACTCTCACAGAGACTCGAAAAGCCAGGTTCAAACCAAAATCGAAGTGATCTATTGTACAGAAAAAGAAAATTTTATTTTCGATTTAAGTTTCAACTGGACCTCGATTCTCGAAGAATAACCAGAGAAATTTTTTAATGTCTCTGATGGTCTAAGTTTTTTGCCACTACAAACCCTTGAAATCCCAACTCTTCACTTCAAACAAGAAAATTTTTGTACTTTTTATTTGAAAACTAATGTAAACTTGCTAATGACTTGTTTCAACCTCATTTTAGTGTTTATGAATGCACTTGGGAGCTTGAGTGATTTCATTTCGACTTGTTTGAAATTGATTCTCAATCGATTTGATTAATTTATTGGCATTTGAGTTTAGCAAGATCTTTCAACCTTAAATTGAACTCTTTCCTAGTCAAACCGAGTGAATGCTTTTTGATTATAATTTTAAATCTCATATTGGAGTAAAAGAAAATAATTTCCAACCTTTTGCATCTCAACATAATTCAGTTGAAATTGTCATTAATTCAGAGCTGATGTTCAATTATTTCGTCTAACATTGGCTAACTGCTAGTTAATCTAACAATTTATTAAGAATTCCCTGTCATCCATTTTGATAATGCTCATTAACACTGTCATTCAAATAACTTGTGTGATTACTGGATTACTCAGTTAAAACGGAATTTAATTGTCAATTTTAGCAAATGAAAGATGATAGAAAAAAAAATAAAATGAGAAAATCTTAAAGTTATCCTTTTTTATGCGCATCAATACAAACAAATACCAAGGATTTGACTTGCGACGTTGAATAAAAAGGATAAAATGAAAAGAATGATAATGATAATAATAATAAAAAAAAGGTAACCCTTTTTCATCAGCATTATCATCATCTTAAGAAGTGAACAAAAATATGAAACTATTATGCAGAGTAAAAGATAAATTGTCTTGTTGAATGACATTCTCATTTTTAGTTACCTTTCAAGTTTCAAGTCATCTTTGAGAGTCAAAGGCAATAGGTAAGGAAGAAAAAGGAAAGGCTGATGATGACGAGTACGATGATGATAAAGATAAGAGTGATGAGGATAAGTGAATGAGAAGTGAGCAAGTTGAGCAGTGAGAATGAACCAAAAGAGAGTAAAGTTTAATATCATGATCAGTAGGAAGATGCTATTTGCTTGTTAAACAACAAGGAGTAAAAAAGAGAAGATCAAAAGATAAAAGTGAAAAGAGAAAACAAAAAGAAGCGAAAAAACAAATCAACAGAAAGTTCCAAGCGAGTTGAGAAGCGTATTGAAATTTAATGAATCAACAATAATTAGCTGTTGAAAGGTAAACCCAAATCATCATTTGCTCTTCATCAATCATCAAAACTCGTAAATGCTGTAAAGTATAATCAACATTAATAGAAACAAATTTATCTCCTTTCCACTCTTGTTATCCTTTGCAAGTTACCACAAACTGTTCATTAACACTTTACAACCAATTTAACCCAAAAGTGAAACAATCAAGATTATTGGTTTACTCAAATGGACATTAAGTGATTCGTTTAACCCAACATTTGTCTTGGATTATCTTGATTTTTGCCGTTAATCCACTTGCGATTCCATCTCACTTTGGCCAACATTCTCTGTGTGTTTATTTCCTTTTTTTCACCCATTTTTTCACTCCACAAAATCAGATTATTACTGAATCTTTTCCTTTTTTTCCCTTTACACAGTTAATAGCTCAGCCAGTTGCACCATTAACCATGTTTACAGTGAAATTAGATTAAAACTGATTCCAACTGTTGAACCTGGTTTTTCTGGTTTGTCACCAATCAGTGTACACCAAAGATCATCGACTTGTATTTCAATCCAAAGTTGACTGAGATCCATTATAAATGTGTAAAAAGTTTTGATTGCTCATTGGGTGAGGAACGAGAAAACATTTGATAAACCAATTCAAATGTTAATCCATAATTTGCTTGTTTTACTGTTAACTGTGCCAATTGTTTTACCCGTTTCATGTGAAGATTCATTACAATATTATGAGTATACCAAACCTTTGACCATTGGTAACTACACTTGTTATGATTATGTTTACAACAATCGCCAGCGTCGATCCTTTCCTCTTAATAATGTAACCCAAAATGGTTTACCGTCTAGCTTAACCTCAACCATTCAAATGGGTGTTGCTTACCGTAATTCACCTTATCGATCACAGAATAAACAAGAGATGATTAAGTTTCACGGAGACATCAATATTGGTGGATTGTTTCCAATGCATGATGCTGGTGATGAACAGCATCTTTGTGGTTCCATCAAGGAGGGTAAAGGTATTCAAAGGATGGAGGCAATGTTGTACGCTGTTGACATGATAAACAATGATACAAATCTTTTACCCAACTTAACTTTAGGCAAGTATCATTATTATCAATCCATTATTAAACTTACGGGTTAATCATAAATAACTAAAGTTGATACATTTTCATTCCTCTCAATCAAATCAAACAACAAACAATAACCACAAAAATAAACCCATAATAAACCTTACAATGTTAACAAGTTAACATTGTATAACACATGAGAAACTGTTTGAAACTATAACAACCAATAAAAGGCTACAAACAATTTAACATGTTAACAGTAAAGGTTTAACATTTATTAATGAGGTGAGTTTCATTGAAGCATTATTTTCCAACATAATCACATCATCGATGGAAACCTTAAAATTATTCAAATTCAAAAGTCTAATCAAAGATGAAAGTTGAAGTCTCCAAACGCTAGTCAATTCACTTGAAGCACAAGGAGCCTTTGATATGCAACCTCCAAGTATGAGACTTTGATAGTTAACAGCTTCAACTGATCAACATTGGCCGAGACTTTAGTCGATCAGTTGAAGCTGTTCACTCCTCGATAAATCTCGGCCAATGTTGAGTTGAATCAGGTTGAAGTTAATTCTCAAGCCTTTTTAACTGACGGTCAACTTGAATAGTCAACTTTAAATATATTTTCGCTGAAAAAGTTAAACAATGAAGCTGTTAATTTATCGAAGTTAATTGTTCCAAACTCTATTATATACGTGACTCTAACCATTATCATTATCATTGTCATAACTAATGATGATTAACAAATATTATAACAATTCTAATTTTGATTTGTTCCAAACAAAGTTAGACTTGAACTTTTCATGTGCAAATATCGTGACACTTTTTCATCAAAGGCAACAATATGATACAGAATATCTTATCGGGCAACATCATGATCATCTTATTCAAAGGAAAAGAAGAAGAGAACGAAAAAGAGAAAGAAAATGAAGAGAGAAAATGAGAAAAGAACAAGAGTGCAAAAGAATATATTTATCCTGTTCATTGGTTGTTCCTTCAATTCTGTGATCCATTTGTATCTGAATTTGTGAAAATTCAAACTTTTTACTTTTCCAGATAACTTGTTATATTCTTGTTGACTTGATTTTTCTGTTTTTGTGTTCTCATCATTTCAAATTCATTTTTCTCTATTCTTTATGTTTTCTTTCCTTCTCAATGAATTGAAGAGCAAAAGAAAAAATTTTGAGAAGAAAAGCTAAAAAAAGATTCGAATTAATAAATTGAAAATTCAATTTAAAAAACTCAGCACATGAATGACAAGCCACACTTTGATTACCAATAAAAAGCACTTTTGGACGAGTCTCTTTCAAACACTTCATCGTTTAACTATTTCGATAAACAAAGGTGGTTAACAAACTTTAATCAAATGATATAATATTAATACATCTTCATACATTCAAAGAATCGAAGTTAATTTCAATTTATCTTCCTTATTCTCGATTCTATCGACAAACTCATAACATTTCCTGAGCATGTTGATATAGAGTTTCTTGTTCTCGTCTCTTCTTATGTAGGACAATGTTTTCATTGAGAAGCTTGTAATTTTTTGAAACAAATGTCACAGTAATAAGGAACCGACTTGAAACCGTATCAACATCAAGTAAAATATCGACATAAACTAACGATAAATCGACAAAATGATCAGATATAACTTTTGGCACAATTTTAAAAAATCCAAATCTGGACTCACAGTTCGATCAAGTTTTCCCAATATTAATTGCTCTAGAGCTTGATTCTGTTTGACTAAAATTTCCAAAGAAAAAAGACAAATAATTTGAAATTGAATTTTGCAAGTTGCCACTTGAACTAGCTTCTCAGTCGGAATCTTCTCATCGTAAAAGATAAAATAATAAACTTTCATCTTTAGTAATTTTCGATATCAGTTTACCTTTTGGAAATCAACGAACAAAATCAATAAGATGGATAAAAAGTAATTAGTTTTCAACAAACACTTTGGGGTGAAAACAACAAGTAAGTCGTCAATCGATCCTTAAGTAGCTTCATCTATTCAATGACGAAAAAATAATTTTCCAATTTCTGACTACATTTCGGTTAATCTCAAACTTCATTTCTGGTCAAACTCATGATTCCGCTCTTTAATGTCGATCTCTAATGTTCAAGAAATTATTCTTTAGATTCGTTCGTCAAGAATAACCAAGTCACTCAGTTGTGCAAATGGGTTATGCATTGAAGTTTTTGTAGCCTTTGCGAGTCAATGAATGGCATGAAACAAGCCACACTTTGGTTACCAATGAAAAGCACTTTTGTACGATTCGATTGGTAACACTTGATCATTTTATCGTTTAATTGTTTCACTTTTTTTCTCTTCTTCTTTACTCAAAATATATTATTAATGAATGGCAATTTCAAATGTACGATACTTTTCATTACAGAAACCAACAGTTAACTAAAGTAATAATAAAGTTTATCAATGACGAAAATGGAAACATTTTTTTCTCCATTTCTCTTTGTTGAGGTAAAATTATATTAAAAGCAATTTCTTGTTCAAAGCCTTCCTATTGCTCACCTTTATCGTCCTCTTCATCCCTTCCATCATCTTCTCCATTCCAAAATAGAAACAAAATTTTGTATACATTTCTTTTTCCTTCTCATCATCTTCAGAATAACCTTTCATTCTTATCCTGTCAACATGAGAAGAAGAGAAAAAAAATTCTCTACAATATTATTTCTACTGAGAAGTGGACTTTAAGATGAGAAATCAGTTTTATCATTTTATATAAACTAAATAATAAACTATCAATGTCTATCAATCTTTACCTTTTGTTGCCTCTTGAAAGAACGAAAAAACAACTTTTTCTTGTCAAAAGAAAATAAGTTTCAAGAGGAATCAAAAATTCATATTCAATTGTCCAAATTAGTTGAAATCGAAATTAAAATTCTCCCAGTTTTCACTACCAGAATTTTTTGATAAATTTGTCATTCTCTTTTAATCTTTTATAACATTTAATTAACTTTCATTTAGATTGCACTTTAATCTCATTTTTTTCAGCATTTCTTTCATTCGAAATGAGTGAGAAATGTTCAACATTTATACAATTCTGTGGTAAATTAGGATACAAATGTGTCATGCAAAATTAGCTGACAATAAACTTGAATAAATTAAAAGTATAATTAGATTAAAGATGTGAGAAGATAATTTGGAAACTACAGATTTTGGATTCTTTTTCATGTTGTTTTTGACTTTTTAATTCCAAGCCTTTTGTGTGTCTCTTTTTTTACATTGAATCTTTTACCTTTACTATTGAATTGAATATTTTGCTAAATTTGATCACAAAATTGAATTTCCAGTTGAATTGATCGAAAGCTATTTCAACTCCAAAACCAAGATTATTTCTCAATTTCAGTTTCTTCCATTCTATTTCAATCGATTGTTCATCTTTTACCTTTTCAGGTTTACCTTTTTTCAACCCTTGACTTTCAGCTCATCTTCAAAGGGCAACTCTTTGTCAACATTTTTTTAGTAATTTTTGCATTTATTTGGATTGAATGGGAAAAGAGTGAAAATTTTTATTCGTTGGTTGTTAGTTTAATGTTGAACAATTAACTCTTTGTTTCTGTCATTAAATTTTGTCCTTTCATCTGTTAAGTGGTGATCATCATTGACATTAAAGGGCTTTTCCATCAAAGGTTTAGCTTAGTAAATCTTGATTTTTCTTGGTTAATATTAGTAAAGTTCAGTTAAAAGTTTTAAAGCTGAGTTTTAATTGATTTAAAAGCACGCCATCTCTCGCTTTCAAAAGCTAATGCTTTAAGCTAACACATGCTTTCATTTCATTTCATTTCATTTCATCATCTCATCTCATTGACTTACCTAGTTTTTATACTTTAGTTTTCTTTATTTTTACCTGTTTTTTAGTTTAGTTTTTTGTTTAATTTGAAAATTTCTAATTATGTGCCACCAGTTGCCTTTAAACAGGCCTAAAAAAATTTTCATCGAACCTGAACTCGCTCTTCGGAGATTCAAAGAAGATGAAAAAGTCAATATTTTTGAAAATGCGAGTTCTGTGCTGATTTCAAATTATATCCAGAAATATAAAGGTGATTTTGAATCTTTTGAGAAATTAAATTGCAGCTTCAAATACAACAATAAATCTATCAACGTTGTTGAATTAAGTGTTATATTTCGTGGTGAAAATTTGAAATATTCTGGTGTAGCCTCTACAAAGACATTGGCAATGGCTATAGCGTCATCAAAGATGTTGGAAAAAATAAGATCAATTGATTCTTATATTTTTATGGTAAATATAACTCTGATCGTACCTTCGGATTTGAAGATACCATCAGGCTGTTGACTAATGACATGAAATACTTGATAATACCTTCGGATTTGGAGATACTATCAAGCTGTTAGCTAATGACATCGAATACTTGATAATGGTTTCGGATTTGAAGCCACTATCAAGCAATTTCTTTGTTATAAACCTATTTAACTTATACTTTATTTTCATTTTACAGCCAAAGTTTTGTATCGGTCTTCCCAACTATCGAGGACACTGCTTTTTCGTTCCAGTTTTTGTACCCCTGTTCAACGATAGTGATTTTGTTTTTGCCCTATTAAAAGCCTTTGAAGTCTCAACACAAGTCATAATTGAAAACAATATCCAAAAGCCAGAAAAAAACAAAGATGAATCTCTGTTCCTTTGGACTAGAGTTATATATAATTTTTTCAGTTCCTATTCTAAGGCTAGTCAAGAAGGAGAAATTATTATAAAACATCACCCAAAAAATATTCAAAGAGCTTACCCTGAAATTTACACCCAAGCTATGGATCAGTGTTTCAAGCAAGCTGGCTATAAAAATGATCTTGAAGTTGATCGGCGTTTGATGAAAGTCGTTATACAATTAGCAGAACATGTTTGGAATGACTACAAAACGCCAGGTTTGATAAATTAACATTTATTACCTAAAGATACTTTCGGATTTGAAGATATCTTTAGGTATTATGAACATAAATTCATGTTTATTATTACCTAAAGATACCTTCGGATTTGAAGATATCTTTAGGTATTGTTAACATAAATTCATGATTATGGTTTATGATCAGATAACTAATAGATGTTATGGCAACTTTCTTATTCATGTTTAGGTGGCTTTTCTTGGAGGTTGTACGAACATGTCGTTACCAAAATTAATAGTGAATTTTATGCCGCTCTTTTACCATCACCTTTCACAGATGTCCTATTCACTACATATTTATTTGAATACAAATGCGACAAATGTGCTGCTTCTCTTCGTCGCAAAGTTGTTACGCCTTTCTTGAATATTCCAACTGTACATTCGTATTATCAAAGTTTACAAGATTTCTTTGATGAGCCAAGCTCATTTATCAACTTTCAAGAGCTTCAGTGTTCCCACAAGAAACAAGGTAGTTCGTATTTAACCCTACAGCTTAATGTCTTCAATTCCGAAGGCAATAATCTGTAATTCTTTTATCTATTTTTCTAATATTATTTTTTCGATTTTATTCTTCAACTATTTTAGCAAAAGCTTGTGGAAGCCCAATTACAGACACGATTAGTCGTTTTAAGTTTATCAAACTACCAAAGACTCTAGTAATCAAAGCTGTTGGCTATATTGGTGGGCTTTACAAAGTTGAAGTTCCTGAAACTCTAAATATTGTTGTAGACACTGAGGTAAAAAAATATGTTAAAGTCGCTTATAGCTTAGATTATGAAGTTTGGAACCGTGGAACTTCTGGTAAACTAAAATCGCTGAGAATGATTGAGCCTGAACAAGGAGATGAATCTGCAGGAAAGCACGCTATAGCAATGGTAAAGACTTCTGAAGGATATTTTGAGATAAACAATAGTCATGTTTTTGAACCTTTAAAATATTTTACTCATGCAATCGACGACACTCTAGTTTTTTATAAAGAAGATGATCTCAATCAATTTATACCTCATGTAGGAAACTACTATAAAAATAATGGAGAAAAAGTAATGGCAACTGGTCAGCAAAAAGCTGATAAAAATGAAGATAATGATGATGATTCATCTGTAATGGATTGGTTTGAAGATTGAGCCAAAAATTTTTTCTCTGTAATTCAAAAAATTGTATTTCCATTTCCCTCTTTTTCATTCAATGTTGTTTTTTGTTTCATTTTTCATTTTCATTTTTCATTTTTTGTAAGACTTTCAAATTTACGTTTATTACATATTTCAGTGGCAAATAAATTCATTTCCATGAACCAAAAGTTTATTCTTGTTAATGATTCTTCAGTTGTATTGAACAGTGTTTCATCTACAATAAATGCCTTCAATCAAGAACAAATGCTTGGTATTTTAGCTCGTGAAAATTGGGAAAAGGTGAGGTTTTTTAATGAATAGATAAAAGAATCATAACTACCATCGGATTTGATGATAGCTATGAACTGATTAAAGAAACATAACTACAATCGGATTTGATGATAGCTATGAACTGTTTAAAGAAACATAACTACAATCGGATTTGATGATAGCTATGATCATACTGTGCAGTCTAATAATGTAAGTAATGATGATATCTATTATCATGGCATATATTATTAGAATGTCTAATTGCCAAAACTACCATCGGATTTGACGGTACTAATGACAAATCTCTTATTATTAAGGTTCCAAGAAGTACTTTGAAAAATATAACTGAGAAGCATCTAACGATGGCTGAAGATGAAGACTTTGAATCAGGATTTATGAAAACTTATCGCTTGAGTCAAAGAGAGTTTTCATGGTTTTGTGCTAATTTAGGGACTTTCAAGCGCTTAAGATGGGACATAAGAATTCAAGCCTTGGTTTTCATCGAATGGCTTAAGTCAAAAGCTCATCTAGAGCAAATTGGACGAATTTTTGATATGCCTACAACAACAACTCACAATTCTGTGAATCGTATTTTAGCTGCAGTACTAAAGCTTGGACCACAACTCATTAGATTGCCAGAGACTTGTGAGCTAAACGATATTTGTGATGGTTTTTATCAAAAGTCAGGAGATGCAAGATTTTTGAGGAATGTTGTTGGAGCTATTGATGGTTCATTGGTTAACTTGATAGTTCCTGAAGATCAAATGGAAGCATATTTTGATCGTCATCTCAATACATCCATGAACCTCACAGCAATTTGTGATCATAATATGGCTATCAGATTTTTGTACGTTGGTAGAACAGGAGCTTGTCACGACGCGAATGTGCTAAAAGAAACTTCTATCTACAAGCAAAAACTTTTTCCACCACAAGATTTTGTTATACTTGGAGATTCTGCCTATCCAAATTGTTTAGAGCCGATAACAATCATAGCTCCTTACAAGCGAGATACAGGCAATCAACTTCTTCCTCCACATCGAAGAGATTTCAATTATATCCATTCCAGAGCTAGAACGGTAATCGAGCGAGCTTACGGGCGTATAAAAAATATGTGGAGGCGTATTCATTTGAATATATTGGAGAGTAATGTCTCTAAAGCTGCTGATATAATAACCGCCTGCATTATAATGAATAATATAACTCTAGGGATGCATGAATTTCGAGCACAAGAAAACCAGAGAAACTTTGATTTTTGGGAAACAGAACCCAAACCAAATACATTTCCTGACGCAAAAGCTTATAGAGATTATTATGCATTGAAATTTGTTGAATAAACTGAAACTTTATTATTACTATTATTAATGAAAAATCAAATACAAAACATATAATCAATGTCATATATTGTGAATATATGCTCAAATCCGAGCGTATTTTCACAATTTAAACCAAATATACTCAAAAAATTATAGATTATCGTCAACAAAAATCGTTTCTCTGTAGATACACAAAGTACGAATAGATAAACAAAAACAGAATAATATAGTCAATCTAATAACGAAACAAATTTGTTAATATACTCTCAAATCCGAGTGTGTATTGACAAAATATATGAGAATCATGGATCTGGTTCTTGGTTTTGTTGTTCAGTATTTACGTTCCTTCGTAGATTTTCTTGATCAGCAGCATTTTTCCAACTTTCATATAGAGGACATGCTGCATTAGTGAATCTTGTGAAATCTTGAGCTATTTTATTCAGCACTTTTGCGTTACCAAGGAATATATCTCGATAAGAAGTGTATCTTCTTACTTTTTTAGAAGGGCGATTCGTTTCTTCGTCGTCTATCGTTGGTGATCGACTGCGTCTTGAGGAGGATGATGATGTTGATGCTTGTGTGTTGAATGAAAAATTGGATGATGATTGCGAGCCTGTTTGGGTCATTGAATTCAGTTGCGATTCTGAGTTTGACAGATTTGCATTCAAATCACTGAAATTAAAGTCATCATCCAATGGTTCTGATGAATGCAAATTATCTGATTGATTTTCAGGAATTTCCTCAAACTGTAAATCATCCATGGCACTAGGAATAAATTGACTTTCATTTTGATTGGTCTCTTGCTCTGTACTTGAGGTTAAACACGAATCTATCACTTTTGGTGGATTATTCTTGTGGCTACCATCACAAAAATAACTGATAAGCTCAAAAAGTTCCTGGCTTGCTACAGAGTCTCTATAACTGCCTGCTACGCCTGTTGCTGGCTTCTTATTATAAAGTTTCTTTAGATTCATGAATTTGTCTCTGACAGTCTTCCATCCAACATTCCAACCGAGAGAGTTAATGAGTTTAATCCATACATCGCTTTTAGCGTAGGCGCCAATGAATTCGCAATCCATTTCTTTTCTTTTACTCAACAATTGAATGCTTTTCTCCAATGTCCCTTAGAATGAAGATATGGTTAGATTAACTCAATAAAGGTCTTTAGTGCCTTCAAGTCCGAAGGCACGAAAAGTATCATAGGTTTAATTCAATGGATATGATGATTGTATCTTCAATTCCAAAGATATAAACATCATTTAACAAGTCAAGTCAAAGCAAGTCTACTTGCAGCTAAAATCTAGTTTTTGATAATTCATGCCTTCGGAATTGAAAGCATGAACAGTATCGTATGTCTGATATAATCTATATGATGATTTTATCTTCAAATCCGAAGATACGATCATCATTTAACAAGTCGAGAAAACTGAATTGTAGGTTAGATTCGATCGATATGATGATTGTATCTTCAATTCCGAAGATGTGATCATCATTTAACAATTTATGTACACTGGCTAACTTACATGTAAAAGCTGGTTTGTAACCCTTCGGTCGACCACGTTTCTTTGGTAAACCTTTTTCTTGCGTAGTTAGATTTATATCCGATGGCTCACTCATTACTTGTTGATCAGCTTGACCATTAGGCATCACAAAATTTTAAATGAAAAATCTAAACTTGAAAATTCTTACAAAAACTAATCAACTAACTTTTCATTTGGTGAATCAAACAAATACAACGTGTTTAGATGCACCAATATGCGCATGTCTCACATGTTGGTTAAAAGTTTTGATGGAAATGGTTAAAGTTGGTTATTTTAGCTGCCAGCTGATTTTTTAACCAACTTTAACCAAGATATATCAAGATTTACTAATAAAAACCTTTGATGGAAAAGCCCTTAAATTGAATGTCAACCAGTATTTTGAACTTGTCAGTTACTATTTTATATAAATCTCAATATTGTGATTTACTTTTCAAAAGTAAATTGAACATGAGATTTGAAGAAGAGGAAACAAAAAGAAGCAAAATGTAAGCAGAAATGTATTTCTTCAGGGAATCTCACTGACTTTAGAAATTCAAATATTCAAGAATTAAAATACACTTCAAGTTTAATGCTTTTACTTCAATGTTTTGTTGGAAGCAACATGTTACCACAGGAAAAAAAGTCACTTCAATTGTAACAAAAGTCACAGGTTCATCCTTTGCGCCGCTTGTAAAGAGTTCAAATTATTTTCACATTTATCTCATCAAAACAAAAGCGACGCTGGGATTTTGCACATTCAGTGATCGTTTTATCATTGGTATACAACTGCATGTAAATAGACAAACTTGTAGTCATTAAATGTTTCGATAACGAGAAGACAAAAAAGTAAAATCAGCTTTAAGTTGAGACCGGCAAGAGTTTGTTTCAGACCCGAACTTTGGTTATCTCTACCCTTTCAACCTCAAAAATGATCAAAAGCAAAAGATTGCACGCTAGCCGAGTTATAACAATCTTCATCTTTTATTTGATAATTTCCTTTTCCTAATTCACTTCTAACAAAAAAAGAAAGAAATTTTATGCTCAAAAAATGAATTGGATCAAGTTACAATTTCTCATTCGTGATATGGCGGAGACCCATTCTTATCCATCTTCTTATCCTTGACAAGAAGTCCTTTTCCGCCATCAGGAGTATTGTTGGTTATATGTTTCCCTGATGAATCAACATGTTTTATTGTAAATATTATGCCATATTTATGTTTTTATAATATTTTCAGATTGAATATCACAAAATTTTCCAACATCTATTAGTAAATTGAACAAACACAGTTCTTGCGGTCAAAGATGATTATCGTTCTAGACTGGGAAGGTCAATTTAAAGTATAAAACTCTAGACATGACTGCCATTTAAAATGTAAATGATTGTACCAAAGTGAAAAGTTGTGTTTAAGTAAAGTTTTGTTTGCTCGAATGGACTGAAAAATGGTCGAATTAAATGGACCAATATTGACCTTCATTGATTATCATAAATAATGAAATGTAAACCTTGAAAATGTTGTGGAAACATTTTGGAACAATCAGTTGAATAGAGAAAAGTTGATTTAAACTGATTTCTTTAATTTTATTTACTCTCATTTCTGTCAATCAATTGTTGAATATTGTTTTCAAAAGCAACTGAAGCAAAGATTGAAATTAAATTGAAAACTCAATTTGTTTCTTTGCGATTATCATTTTTAAACATTAGTTAATTTCACGATTCAATGATTCAAGTTGAATTGGTGGAGTAAAACCTTTGATTGATATGTATGATAATGAATATGGTAATAACGTTAAGCTGATTAAACCATGAATTCCCATTATTCACATTATCATATCAAGAGGATAAATTATTAATGATAATGTTGAGCAATTTAATTAAGGATTAAATCTTAATTCTAATAATTAGTTTCACAAACTATTTAACATTCACTGACAGTCAAAATTCAAAAGACGAGTCAATTAAATTGGAAATGAGATTCTTGGGATTGATCGAAACAACTTGAACTTCATCATAAAGTAACCTTTCAATAATATCGATAACTTTTAGGAGAAACTTGAAGAGTTTCAATGATTTTTCCCTTCCAATTGTTGATTAACTGTTACAATTAACTGTAAATGTGTTTGGTAAATCCTTTGAAATTGCAGGTTAAATTAATGGATGGAAATGTTATTAAATGTAAATTAGGTTGAAAGATATTGACTGATCGAAGAAGGAAAAACAGTAAATGTTTCTTTTTCCCTTTTCTTTTCGATTCTCTCATCTTTCAACAATTCAATGGGTTAAAACTTTTATAAACATTGCTTCTTCATCTCATGAACATTAATCATCTTTAAGTATCATTGGTCTAAACTTGAATTAATTCATTTCCATTTAACTGATCGAATCGTGATTAACCCCATTAATCCTTATTGACATAAACATCTTCAAATAGGTTAAAATCTTTGCTTCTTCGTACATTTTCATTTCTCTGATAGTTTACTTGAAAGGGTTTTACCACTCGACTGATATTAACTAATAACAGTTATATTAATTTAAACGATAAACAAGTTTTAAAAGAATCATCTCATGGAATCAGTTGCAATCTATTTTCATCCAATTTTATTCCATTTCGAGAAGAATTGCAAAATTGTAGAAAAAATTGCATTCGAATTTCTGGAAAACATTTTGGTGCTTTTCCAATAGATTTTGATCATTCTCGTTCGATAATTTGACTGAAAAGGTCTCAGTTCTGTTCCAGTCCTCCCGATTGGTTGAAGGAAAGTTTCGACTTCCATTTGACATTAATTTCAAAAAATTGCGTTAAAGTTGCTTAAGCTTCGAATCTGAATTTGTATGAATTAAATGTTTCGAGCGAGTTTTCTAGATGAACTTTTATGCTTTAATCTTGCTTCTGATGGAATGAGTAAAGCGAAAGTTTGCTTTAAATGTGCGAATATTTGATCTTTGGAAAGGTTCTTCACTTCTTCAATATTTGATCTTGATATTGATCAGGCTTCATTATTATCAATAAGGATTCACATTTTTTGCCCAATTTTGATGGTCAACTTTTTTCTCTGTTCATTCATGATTTTTCACAATGAAAGCCACTCAAGACAAAGGCTTAAAATTAGGTGAAACAGTTCACCTGATGAGGAACAATCAATTTTTATGGTTTGTGATTTATAGTAACGACTGGCAAGAGAAAGAAAGAAACACATCATCAACATGGGAATAAAGGAAAATAATGAAACCAAGTAAACCACAAAAATCGAGGTAAACTTTTTTTCCTCTGAAAAGCGCAAAGAGTTGACCATGATTGAATGATGCAACTGCGAACCAAGAAGAAGAAGAGAAAAAAATTGTTTCCTTAAGCGACCAGGAAAAAGGTAATGATGAAGACGGTGCGATTAGAGTAAATGAAAAAAAGGAATGATCCAAACAAATGGTTCTCTTCCAGGTATTATCATTAAGGTGTAACAAAGACTAGGAGATTGAGACACAAATCTTAATCATAGCTCAACATGATTGATGTCAAGAAAAAGTCTTTTCAACGAATCAAACTTTTCAATCATTTACTTTTTTCCATTTCATTTTAAATCCAAGCCAAAATCAATTCCAAATCATTTTGAATCAACAAGTCAAAGCAAAAGCACTTGAACACTTGGACCGAAATTCGAGTTCTTCACGAATCACACTAAACTCACTCCAAGACTCTCTGAATAATCTGCAACAATTAGAACAAAATTGATCGAAATTATCTTTCATCAAGAATACTCCAAGCTGGGAGTTTTTACTCCCAAAAAGCAATCATCTTTTGAAATGGATTGAAATTTGAGTAAAGTTGATTGCAATAGAAAATGTTGCTTTTTGGAGAAACATTATTAACCAAAGAAAAACATTTTTAAAAAGATTAATATCTCAATATGAATCAGTCTTGAGGTTGAATGGAGTTGATACAATAATCGTTGTATTAACAATTTTAATGGCACTCAAATTCAATGGGAATAAAGATAACTAAGTCTTTTGATAAGAAGAAGGAAGGAAAAACGAACGAAAACAACAATCAAAATTGATCTTACCTTTGCAAATATATTATCACAATATTGTATTATCATTGAATCATTTTTTCTTGCAATCATTTTTTTCTTCTTCCTTTCAATTCCCATCTTTTTTGTCATTCATCAATATAATACGTTTAAAGGTTTGCAACAACAGTCGACTGTATAATAACGTGGATTCCGTTGAAACTCAGCATTCTTTTATCCATCGGATAACTCCAATTCTGTTTACTCACTCATTTTATTTCAATCTAACCTCTCTCTCAACATTCAATAATCTTGTTCAGCCGAAATGGTTTGTTTGCACTTTTCATCTTTTTTTACCTTTTCCCTGAATTCACGTGAAAAGGTGAAAATTTTTTTTCAACATTTTATTAAATTAGTGATTCTCTTTCTCCTCGTTTCGCCATAATTACTTTTGAATGGCGACAAAAGTGTATGAATATGTCAGAAGAAATTCTTCTCCATCTTTTCACCCAATTCAGGTTAAACTCGACTTTCACTGTTTTTCGTTATTAATCATGTTCTTTTGTTTGCTCATGGAAAGTTTAATCAAATGAGAAATAGATTTTTTGATGGTTTCAAAGTTTAATTGGAAAATAAAACATTTAAAACAAATAATTGTCTCTCTGTTGACAGTAAAAGTTATCATGTTCATCTGTAGATTATAAATGATTTTTTGCCTCTTGTGTCAGAACTTTTCTCTCTCTATTCAATGTTGATAACAAAAATGGTTTGTTTGTTATTTACTTTTACCTTCAACCCTTTCACTTGACAATGTCTTTATCATTATTTAAATGTGTCTTCATGTGACAAAATTAATAAGATGAACAAAACAGTCGCCTTTTCTGGCCTTTTTGTTTGCTTATTTTTGGGTTAACTTTTGATCAACAATTGAAAGTATGAATAGCATTCCCTGTTTGCTTCATTGTTTGATTATTTAAATTCCAATTGTTGCTTGGTTATTTTGTCTCTTCTTCCCATGTAATCATAAATCTATTTTTTCCTCTCAACATTTTCATACCTTGTTGAGTTCAATAGAATTGTAAAGTCAGCATTTTAATGGAATCAATGATAATGGAAAAAATTGTTAGAGTAAAAATAAATTCTCAAATTGGATAGAAAAGGCAAAATTTTGAATTATCGATCTATTTTCTAGTTTACCAATTAGCTTCAACATTACAGAACATTTCCTTCGATCGATATTCATATTGAATGGACAATCTTTCAATCAATTGATTCGATTGATGCTCTTCAATGAACTTATTTGGAAACAATTTTCTGATTGAAATCTGTTCATAAAGAGATTTAAAGTTTTCGCCGGAAAATTGTTCAACTTTTGTTCATAAAGACTTTAAAGAGATGTTAATTTTTTTCGATTTTTTGTCCTTTCCAGGAGTTCACATTTTAGACACTTGTTCACGAGATACTTATGCCTTAGAACAAACAATGGAATTCGTCAAGTCTTCGTTGACCACAGTTGACCACACTTTGGATGACTATCAATGTGATGATGGTTCCTCTCCTCATCTATTGGCTTCAGACCCTGTTGTTGGTGTTATTGGAGCAGCATCCAGCTCAGTGTCTGTAATGGTGGCCAATATTTTACGTCTTTTCCAGGTTTGTTTAATCGTCTATAAAATGGTTAACAATTTGTTTAACCTTTTGTTTTTATTTTTTACCAAATAATCAGATTCCACAAATTAGTTATGCCTCAACTAGCATTGAATTAAGTGATAAAAGTAGATTTGGATTCTTTTCTCGAGTTGTTCCACCCGATAGTTTTCAGGCTCAGGTTATGGTTGATATTGTTAAACTGTTCAACTGGACTTATGTGTCTACCATTGCTGAGGAAGGTGAATATGGTGAGAGAGGAATTGAATATTTTAAAACGCTTGCTGCTCGGGAAAGGATTTGCATTGCCGAAGGTGTCAAGATAACCAGAAATGCTAAACCAGAAGATTTCATTCGAATAATTAATAAACTCTATTCAAAATCAAATGCTCGTGGTGTGGTGCTTTTCGTGGATGAAGACAATTGTCGTAAACTATTGAATGCTTCCCAAGTAACTGGTAAAGTTGGACACTTTGCATGGCTTGGTAGTGACTCTTGGGGTCGAAAATTGTATCCAGTTAGAGGTCAAGAAGACAGTGCAGTTGGAGCAATTACAATATTACCAAAGCGAAACTCACTGCCAGGTAAAAGGAAAACTTTCAAAGCTCTTTTAAACCCATTTTTGTTCATTTAAACATTCCTTTAAATATGACAGCGTTTTTGGAAAACAAAAGTTTAACTCTTTCAAATTTTCATCGCTATTCCAGACAAACATTGTCCTAACTTAAAAATGATTTAGAATGGAAGAGTCAAGTCAAAAAGTCAAGTCACATTGAGTAGACTCGATACTAAAACAATACTTTTCATTTTCAGTCAAGAGACCAGTTTTAGTCAGAAGATCGTAGTTATCCATAAGTCGTTTCTCGGGCAATACAAGAGGACACCGGATCAAATCCTGGTTCAAAGACTAGAGTTTACAGAAACTTGAGCACAAGCTAAGTCGCTCCTTTTAGTCTTAGTTTCTCTCGGCAGACGCTAAGTTTGTATTGTTTATGAAATCAGTGGAAATGAAAATTAACTCTTTATTGTTGAGTCTTCTTGAACTGAGCAAAGAAGGAAAAGGTTTTTCGTCTTTTAATTACTTAGTCTTGCTGTTCTAAAATAATTGTGTCAGGTCGATTCAGTTGAAATGCGCGGACTTTGAGGCCGTTTCTCGGCAACCACTGACGCATTCTCAATGAAACTCATTTATGCGGCTTTTGATCGTTTTAGTGATTCTATTATTGTTACAATGGATTACAAAAGTGCTCTTAAAAGTTCAATTACTAAAGATGAAGTCGTCGGAATTGTTAAGTACCTCGTTTATAAAGATTACAGTGCTGGCTTAATTCATCAAGAGGTCAATAGACTAATGTCTGGTAAAGGACCTTCTGAGGCAACCATAAAACGCTGGTGTGCAACTTTGAAGAAGGGCCAGAATCTAGAGAAAAGAAAATTCCGTCAGAAATGAATCAAGATCATTTTCAACCTGATATTTCCTCCATGACTTGCCAAGAACAACATCATTCTGAATTATCACATTTTGCTTCAACTTGAAAGAGAAGAAGAAAATTCCAAGAAAAATTTTGACAACTTTTCATGATTAAACATTTGTGAACTTTTCTCTCTATTTGATTGGAGAAGAAGAAAAATTTTGAAACTTTTCTGAGAAACTTTGATTTTCTAATAAAACACTTCTCTTTACAAAGAAATATAACAAACAATATCAACTAAATATTAATGATATTAGAGTTGAATTAATTTGGTGAAAAGTGAAGAGAAAAGGTCAAAAAATGAGTTAAAAATTCTGGTCAAATTTTCAGGTTTATTTTATTGTTAATGTTTGTTTTGCGCCATTTTTGATTCTGAAATTTTCTTCTCACTCAATCAAAAGTTTTTCAAATGAAATGGAAAAGGAAAGAAAGAGCAAAAAATAAAGTTGCGATTCCAGGGAATTTCAATGTCCATCCAAGTGAAATGAACAAGAAAAACCTGATTCAATTGAGCGATCAAAAGACGAAGGAAAGAAAACTTTATCCGCTCATGATTTTGTGACCCAAAAAAAGAAGCTCCAAGAAACCCAAAAATGAAAATATTTAAAAAGTTGTCAACATAATCAATAACAGCGCAAATAGAGAGTTGACTTTGATAAATTTGATTGTTTACAATGGAGTTGATTCTTATTGTTTCTTACATCATTGGTAGACATTGCCTGAAGCCAGGTTTCAATAGCAAGTCGATACCAACATAATGGATGAAAAATTTCATCTTGAGCTATCATTTGGAAACAGAAAATTTCACCTTCCATTATTTACCTGAAAACTCTTAATAACAGTTGAAAGTGTTTTTCCATCGACTATAATTTTCCGTTTTTCACCTTTTCTCAACACTTTTTTCATTCTTGTTTTCTGAGGAAATTCATGAGAAGAAAAAAAATGTTTCAATTGTTTTCTTTCTTCTTCTTTTTTTCGATGTTCACCTTTTCAAGTTCAACTTGTTTTTCAAACGCAATGCTACAAGAAAAATAAACTTGCTTTGATAGGCAAAAATGGTTTCAATGTTGAATCGAAATCGTTGCTTTTCTTGTCAATGATCGACATGAGATGAAAATTGTTGCTTCCAATCATGTTCATGTTCCATCATGTTTGGTCCATTCTTTATCATTTATTATTTTTCCTTTTTTTACTCTTTTTAACCGAATTCAAATGAGGGCAACCTGATTGTTAACACCAAACGTCTAAACTATCGACTATGAAATGAGATGAAAAGGATAGGAAATGATAATAATCACAATTGAAAGGATTACATTTCACATAGGAAATGAGAAGGAAATGAATTGAAAAGATTGTTCAATGTGAAAAATCAATTGAATAGGAAAACAATTATTACATGTTCAGATGAGCATTGAAACTTGTAAATAGAAATTCAATGCATTTTTCCTTGTTATTTTACCATTTTATTAGATTACTGGTTTGTGGTCACAAAAAAGTGTCCAATTATCTTGACGAAGGATTTCATTTGTATAACATACTCGATTTAAGGTCAATTATTTCGCTTTTAGAGCTGAAATGAGATGAAAATCAATTTGTTTTTATAACAGTCTGGCTTTTTTCGTAGCAAAGTGAGCAATATTTTATTAAATCTTTCATCTGATTTACAAAACAGAATATTGATGTTCATTTAATTCACTGATTTTGTGGCCTAAAATCGAGAAATTAAAATAATCAAAAGAAATTAAAGGTTGGAAACACAACACAGGTGTAAACTTCACGGAAAGAAGAAGTAAAGTTTGATTGAAAATCAAAACTAATATGTTTAAGTTGAAGATTATTATACTGAAGCTATACACGGTCATTATTAACTATTACATATGACAACTGAATAACTGAATATTGAAAAACGAGAAAATCTTTTCCCAGAATTTACAGAAAATTTGAGTTTTCTGAAAAATGATAAAAATTGATTCAAAGTTAAAATAAAGTCTGAAAGTACATTAAATCCATAGGAAATAGTGAAGCTTGCATTGAAGCGATTATTAGTTATTCAATTTGAATACATTTATCTGATAATTTGCATTAAATATTTGAGAAAATTTGAATAATTCATTTCTCTGAATCGAACAGCAAACACCTAAACTCTGATTTTCTGATCAACTGAAATCTCTTTCAAACAACAACTTTATTATCCAATTGCAACTTCAGACTTCACTGGGAGGCAAAAATAGTAACATTCATCATTTTCCTCAATGAAGCTACAAAAGAGAATCTCAGTGTTTTCCAATTTATACATTTCATGGTCATATTCATCGTCGAGAATAATCTCATAACATGATTTAGAAAAACTCGAAACATTGCAAAGATTCTTTTCGTTCTACTTTCCAAATCTGAATTTCTAGATCGCACAATTTTCTCTTTTCGTCATTTTCGATGAAGAAAATAGTCAAAAAAGTTCTTCCATTGAAAGGAAACTTTTCATCCCCAAACTCTGTAAGGTGAAATTGCATGAAAAGCTGTTGCTTCATTTTATTGAACGAGCTTTCCATTTGATTTGATATTCACAATGGAAGCTTCAACCTTTTATCTTTCTACTTAATTTCAACCTAATCCATCCTTTCATTGATATAATCAAGTTATTAAACTTTTATTTTGAAAATTAATCTCGAGTTATTATCAATTCAGAAATTGAATAACAATGAAAATGGTGAAAAGATAATTTCCTCTCTCAAAGTTGATCATTTTGATTGAGACAAAATAATCAATTGTGACTCTGTAAGGTCATTGATGAATTTCATTGAAGCATCTAATTTGGTTATCCTAAGAATGTTATTAATGCTTAAACATGGCTTCTCTTTATCCTCATCCTCAGCATAATATTGATAACTTTTTTCACTTTTTCCTCTTCAGGTAAAATCTCTCAATACAATTATACGAAAGGTTTCATGAAAGGGAAACATCTTTTGTCAGCAATTTTACAGCTAAATATCAATAACAATTATCATTATCTTTTTTTTCAATGGAATGAGAAGAAAATGAACCAAAAAAAACTTTCTTCATGGCAACGATTCTTAATGGGACACTTAATTTGAGAGAAGAAGAAGAAGAAAAGTTGAAATTTTATTTTCTCTTTCCATCAGAAAAATGAGAAATAATTTTGAGCAAAAAAAGTTGTGTTCACTATTGGAACCCAAAACGTATAATCAAATCTGATTAATGCATTGTTAATGTAACCTTTTAATTGTTAATGATCAGTTTCATTTGTTTTCTGCCTTCAACTTGATTCGAGTTTAATTTGTCGTAATTGTCGAGCAAAAACTGAGTTTTCCTTTTTTCTTGTCTTCCTAAAATGCTCAATCATCTTTTATGCAAATTGCATACAAACTGGATGAGTTTAATTAAACTATGATTTTCTTGCAATCACTTTTGACACTTTTTTTCCTGGTCAAAGGTGATGAAGAAATATAACGTTTCAAGAAAAGCAATGGAATGATAATGGTCAAGAGTTCTGAGAAAATGAATGTCAAACAGATTTTGTGCTGGAGAAAGAGTCATTCATCATTTTTTGGGTTTCATTAAAGCACTTTTGGGTTCAACTGTTGAAATGGATTGAAGTTTAAAATGAAAAATTGATTGAAGTTGCAATCAAAGTAAATGAAAGTCCTTTCAAGTGCTATTGATATTAATGAATCTAATGAGTTGATACAGATTTAATCTCCATTTAAACTGCTAATGACTTTATGACAATTGTTGAGCTCTCTCACAATATAAATGACAAATTATCTTCATAATGAAACAGTTTTAATAATGTAATATTTTCCTTTTTTCATTTGATTTAGTTTTCCAACTTTTTTTCCAACTTCAAGTTTTCATCATTTGTTCAGCCATCGAAATCGGAATAAGGTCATCACTGAGTTTAAATTTCGAGTTTCTAGGATAATCTCATGAGAAATTATTCCATAATATTTTTCTAATGCGAACCATTTTGAGCGAAATTGGAATTGAGTTGAATTTTGAAAAGAATTTTTCTTTCGATTTTACAAATATTGCGATCTTTGATAATCTTTTGCTTTTCTTCATTTTTCTGGTGAAACTGGAAACGTTGAGAGAGTTTAATTAACTGGAAAATTATGGAAACTTGAATTGACTTTTAAAAGCTATTCTTGAATGTGTAATGAACATAAAATGGGTTTAGTTTCAAGTGTATTCATCAAATGATAATTTATGTTCTTTTTTCACAATCCAACAATCGCGTTAAATCTCAGGTTTTGATGAATATTTTAAAAGTTTAAAACCATTGACAAACAAACGCAATCCTTGGTTTAAACCATTCTGGGAACAACATTTCAACTGTTATTTTCCAGAGACTGTCAACTCTCCTGAGGCTGTTGTTAATTTAAAACCTTTGGACCGGAAGAAATGTACAGGTAAAGTACAACTGATATTAGTGGTTAAGTCACTCATCAAGTTGCTTGGAAAAGTAGAAGAGTAAAAATCACAAGCAAACTATTAATAATAGCAAATTGAATGTTGGCTTTCAAATGATTTGCCATTATAAACAGACGAGTATAAATAATGACAATCTAATAAAGCAACAGCTCAAAGGCATAAAGTGGAGCAAGATGAACAAAATATAATTTATAAATGAAATAAAAAGTTGTTGCCCACCAAAAGAGGTAACCAGAAAAGGTGTTTGTAAACGCAAAAAAAGAAGTAAAAGAAGACGAAAAATTGACTCTCATTATCACAATCATAATCTAGTTTCTCTTTTTGCTTCACTTTATCAAATCAAAGTTATTTTCATGGCAAAATGCTCGAAATGCTAGTGAACCAAAATTCTTAGAAGAGTAAACAGAATTCATATTTTTCCTGTTAAATGCCATTAGACAACCTGGTAAAGTTATTTTTATGGTGAATATTTAGTTGGAATTTAAAGTTATTTTTGCTTAACAAATATTTTTATTCAACTTTATTTTCATAACATTCAATGAGAAAAATGGAATTTTGATTTATCATGAATTTTCAGAGCAAACTGTAGACTTGTTGGTTGTTAATGGAAAATCGGAATTTTCTAAAAACTGAGATTTCGATTTTCGAAAATGGAATTTTTCGATCGAAAATGGATTAAGAACAATTTTTTCAATGATTTTTTTTCTCGCTTCTCTTGCAGGCAATGAAGTCTTAGTCAAGTATGAACAAGAAGGTTTGGTTCCGTTCGTTGTCGATGCCGTCTATGCCATGGCTCATGCTATACATAATCTATTATCTGATCGATGCCGTCCAAAAGTACCGAAGCCAGTTGACTCTTCAAACGAAACGAGACTTGAAAGTGTATTCTTTTCACCTAAAAGTCTCTGTGTTCGAGCACCCATCAAAGGCCAAGAACTTTTATCTTACATTCGTAAAGTTTCCTTTTCAAGTAAGTGACCAAGATATTTGATAAAAGAAATTCTCTAAATTCGTTGAGCGAATGCAAAACTGGGAGTGAAAACTCCCTGCAAGAGGCAAGAATAAAAGTGATCGCTTTTCTGTGAGTAATGAGGTGCAATTATCGGTTCATCACAATGCTCAAGATGTTATTCAAAAGATGTTTTTGTATTCATATTTTCATTGTGAACAATAAACTCGAACGAACACAATTCATTTGTAGATATTATCCTTGATACAGCATTTTCATCTTTCCACTTGTTCTTATTCATATTCTTTACTGATAAGTGGATAAGTATTATGTTCATTGAGCATTCATTTATCGCTACAGATAGCAATTTCGTTGGTTTGAAGAAGAGGAAAAAATGATGACAAAAACAGATCCAATAATGAATAGAGAAAAGTAAACGGAAAGAAGAAACAAAATTGTTATCTCACCGTTATGATAACACTTGTGATGGAAGCCATTGTTAAGAGGAAACCCAAAGAAAAGGATTGAACACGAAAATAACACAAATTGACATTCAACCTTATTAATAACTCGCACTCGAGTTGAAACATCATTTAACCCAAACAGTTAAACCTTTAATTACAGTTGGAGTGAAAAAAAACATTTTTTGCATCTTTTTCCGTTCCAAGTTCAGGACTAAAGTCAAACACCTTTTCAGTCAAAGATATTAATCAAACTTTTCTGGTCAGTTCTCGTCAAGTGTCGACAACTTTGATAATTGTTTCTCATTCAAAATCAATACTCATTTTATTGACTACTCAAGTAGCGTGAACAAAATATATTAAATGGAAAGAAACAAAATCTCGAATAGAAACAGTAACTTGACGATAACTTGAAGAGATCATTTTTTGGGCAACTTTTTCTTTTCCCTGAAACCTCTCAGAGTATTGAAAGAAAAAATTCTTGCAATTATCAAGTCTATCAAGAATCAATTGAAACTCAATTTATCTTTTTGTTGCTTTTTTACTTCTTATTGATACAACATTGCCTTTTCTGGTTCAAAGAAATTTCTCATTTCGATTGAAATTTTGATCAATTTTAACTGATTATCTGGCTTCTTCTTTCACTATTCAGGTTTACAGGGAATGACTGTCAAGTTCAATAAAGACGGCGATGCTCCTGGTCGTTATGACATCTTTCAATATCAAAGAGTCAAAGAATCTTTAGATTATTCAAATTCATCCGATTCTCAATCTCCATCTGAATATGATTACATCAAGATTGGTAACTGGGAAAGTGAAAGGTGAGTTTTGAGACTCGAATTTGGAATTTAAAGAATTTTGTGAAAATCTTTTTGCCTCAAATTGTAATTAAATTTCGATCGAAATTGAATTTAATTGAAATACATTTTCATCGAAAAAGATTTCAAAGTTGACTTTCTAGACGAAATTGATTTTTTATTTCATTTTGCTTCTTCTCCTCAACAGATTAGTGTTTAATTTAAGTCAACTAGAGTGGCCTAATTTTGGTGTTGCTCATTCGAATGAAAGTGGCTTCAGTTCTATTCCTAGTTCCGTTTGTAGCAAAGAGTGTGAACGAGGTCAATTTCGTCAGATACATGAAGGGCAACCGTGTTGTTGGCATTGCTCTTATTGTCAGGAGAATGAGCGAATCTACAATTTAACTGATTGTGTGGCTTGTTCACCCGGCTATGTTCCTGATGAGTACAGAGAGACTTGCACCAAGTTACCTGTTGAGTTTATGAGATGGGACTCTCCGTGGACTATTGTGCCCGCCGTCTTTGCCTCACTCGGCATTGTGGCCACAGTGTTTACCTGCATGACCTTTATCAGGTTCAACGAGACACCCATCATCATGGCTTCTGGTCGTGAATTGTGTTACATTTTGCTTCTCGGCTTGATGGTTTGTTATATTGTCAGTCTTCTTATCCTTTCAAAGCCAACTCTTTTAACCTGTACAGTGGTTCGTATCGGCCTTTGTCTGGGTCTTTGTATCAGCTACTCTGCCATACTCACCAAAACCAATCGCATTTCCCGCATCTTTAATCGGGGAGTTAAAAGTGGCCTGAAACGTCCTTCCTATACTAGTCCAAAGTCTCAGGTTGTCATTTGTTCCTGTTTAGTTTCCGTTCAATTGGTCATCGTTGTTGGTTGGCTCATTCGTGATCCTCCTTCCGTTGCCGAGGTTCCACAGAAGCTGGGAACAAGAAAGGTTGTCGTTCTGCAATGTGGCATCTCAGCCACGGCAACGGCCATTTCACTCATTTATAACATGATTCTTATAGTTTTTTGTACAATGTATGCTTTTAAAACTCGAAAAATACCCGACAATTTTAATGAAGCAAAGTACATTGTCTTTACCATGTACAGTACTTGTATAGTTTGGCTGGCTTTTATACCAATCTACTTCGGTACCAATAATGATTTCAAGGTGAGTAAACTCGATGGATCCAAAATCCGTTTCAAGCAACGAATGTTTCTTCACTGTTACCAGTCGAGTCGAACTTGAAATTGAGATTCGACACATATTCATTTTTTTTCATTTCGATTCAAAGGATACACAAATAAGTTCTTTTTGGACTTTTGTATTCAGAAGAAAACAATTTTTTCTCATGATAATGCAACTAAGAGGTTGATCAACTGAAACTAAGCTTGTGATTTGAGAATAATTATGCTGAAATTAGTAATAAATGGTTCATTTAACTTCAATATATTGATCAAATTGAGTCAATGAAAAATATCAACAAAAAGGATTATTCAAGTTGATTCAAGTAGGAAAACGGTTTCAATCGACTCGAAACTTTCCATATAAGGGCGAGTAAAATTGAAAATGTTAATCAGGCGAACCAAAATTTTCATCAATTGTATTAATAGACTTTTCATGTTAATCGAAAAACAAAGTCAATATAAATTGAGACAACAATTTGAATGAAAGCAAATTATTCATAATTATCAACTGCAACATTACTGTCAGTCAACTGTAAATATCCACATTTGCATAAATAATGCTAATAAAGTTGTAGTCAAGTTTCAATGTAAATATATCAAAACTAATCTAATTGCTTACGATTAACAAAATTATGCAAATTCAAGAAACAGAAAGGTAAATGCGCAATCTTGCACACAATTATTCACTCAAATCCGATCAAAATTGTTTCGATTTATTATTAAATTTCATCGATTTTGTTGCAAATCCAAAAGTTTCCCCTTCTGTTGATCACAATCGACATTCAAATTGAAAAAATTGATAAATATTTCTAAAAAGATTTTCGAAAATTCTCAATTTATTAAGAAATGAATTTAAATCGTGATACAGTCTACTTTTTATCTGAACATTGAAGCATGATTCTGAACTCTCTTTGTTTGAACTAGAAATGCATTTAAATTTTTATGAATTGAACAATAATCTTGATGAATTTGTCTCTCTTTTGTCCCTCAGATCCAACTTGCCAGTCTATCGACATGCATATCAATCAGTGCTGCTGTTAACATTGGATGCCTTTTTACACCTAAATTGTACATTTGTTTATTTCAACCTTATAAAAATACTAGACATTCGGGTACACAGGTATGTTACAGGTTTTAATGCGGTCATTGTGCTAACACTGTTAGTGCTAGTTGGCAGAAGCAATGTTAATGTGATTTTTCTTTACTGATTCTTGATAGGGTTCCGGAGGTGTTGGTACCTTTACTACAAACTCAACAAGCAATGCCCTTCGGTTTGCTCGACCAACTAGTTCTGGTGGATGTGCTGCTGCCATAGCAGCTGCTACTCAAGCCATTTCAGCTCATCAATCAGCACCAACAATAGTGTTGCCTGAACCCTCTTCGGGTGACTTGAAGACAACGTCAACAACAAACGGAGACTGGAACTCGCCAAGTCCTGAAGAGGAACAAAATAGTGCCATTTAACTGTTGACCTTTTTTTACCGTTACAATAAGTCTTTCAGTTATCATCGTCATTTAATGATAGCAATACAATTATTGTAGTCCAAACAATTAAACATTTTTCAGTCACTCATCTTTCTAATTCGAGTTCGGAGACAAGCTGAAGGTTCTTATGAACCAAGTCAAATATTCATATTTTACTTGGTAGAATTGCGAATAAAGATTTGATTCTCATTGGCATACTGTTCAGTGAATGGGTAGTGATTATCAGAATTCCAAAAGACAGCTTCTAAGATGAAGAGATATTTTCTAAAAGCTTCAAATAGTTTCACTCGCATTTTCATGAGCTTGAGGACAGAAGTACGAAATGCTCTCTCACCCAAAACTATCGAGAAAAAATGAGTGATAAATGAGAATCATTCATTCATAAGATGCATCAAAGCTGAACAGTCGAGACTATTGAGGCTACAAACCTTGAGGCTGAAGTTGAAACCTGTTGAATCAATGAAAAAGACAATTCATGTCCGCTTCTGTGTAATCTAAAAATTCTGATTTCCATTTTCATTACTTTTATTGTGAAGTAAATGGAAAATTTTTGAGTTAATTTTCTTTTCATTTCATAATTTATTTTGTCCCGAAACCAACCTTATTAAGCTTACCTTTATTTTGTCAAAAGAAATTTAGATTATTGTATTACTATTAAGGAACTGGTATGCTCAAGAAAAAAATGAATCTGGACCTTTGGGATTCGCAGATTTGGAAAATAAAATTGTGTCGATCCACCATGCAACTGTACTAATTAAACTGTATTAAGTTATTAAACTTAATTTAATTACAAATTCAAGTTCTAAATTAAAGGGAAAATGATTATCGATACTGCTTACACCAATATTGATTGGCTCAAGTAAATCTTTAAATTCGTTCAATTAATTTTCCCTTTTTCTAATTTGCAAATTTTTAAAAGATCATAACTGATACAGCTTTAGTGCGAACGCTTCACTTTGAAAAACTTAATAGCAGTACAAAGTGTATTAAAAAGCCATTTCTGGCTCAATTCAAAACCGCTTATCGCGAAAAGTTTAAATGAAAGAAAAAATTGATTTAAATTCAAAATTCATTTTGAAACTTGGACCATAGTGTCACCTTGGGTATCAATAAAACTTACAAGGTAAGTGTCTCAGGTTTCTCAGTGATTTCCGGTCGAGACTGTATGCATTCGATAGAGCATAAAAAACTAATGAAAAGATTTGTCAGATTTAGATAGGAAACTTTCGGTTAACGAGAAATTTGAGGTAAAAAAGTGTTTTCTTATGAAAAAATGCAAAGTTTTTCAATTTTTTTTCTTGATTTTATTTTATTATTAAAATAATTTTTGGGGTTTTCACCTTAAAAAATCACTGAAAACACTTGTAACACGCCCTTAAATATGTAGTTTATTGTAATAGATGTAGATACACCCTTATTCATTTTATAAGGGACCCATGTATAACATATATATATATGCCGAAAAGTGCGAAATAAAGTTTAGTCTTGAGTTGATTGTAAATCCTAGACGCATCTTATCTTGAAAGCTTAAAATTCTCACACAGTATAAAATGGGTGGATTTTGGATTTTTATTAATTTTCTGATTATCATTAGAACAACCATCAATATATTAATATTTTTTTAGCGCAAATTCCAACTCATTCTGTCCTTTAATGCAATGACGATGGAAAATGAAACGTGCAGTAAGCACATTTGTGAGCTCCTTTTCCATTTTTTCACTAAACTTTAAGTCAATTTTAGATGACAAAACATAGTGCAGTTTGGTCACATTTTGAAGTGAAAAATGTTGACCCGAGGTGCAAAATATGTGAACTTCAAACCAACAAACAATAAATCCAATCTAATGCAACACAACAAAACTCACCATTGAGGTGTAAATTAAACAATGATCAACAAAAAGAGTCAACTAAAAATGACTGTCAACGTATGAATGACTTTATATCTTCTGTTAAATCAATACAAAGTAAGTAAAATAAACATATTATTAAGTATTTGAATTATTAGTGTTTTTAAGCTTAAATTTTCAATTTTTTGATTTTGACTTACAAGGGAACGTTTCCAGGTTGTTTTTTCTTTCAAGATGAAACGTGGCACAATCGATAGAGGGGACTAATTATGTATAGTAAATAGTGTATGAAAATACTGTAAAGTATTTTATCTACATAGTTCGTTGTTCTTGTTTAGGTTATTTAGGTTTAAAATTTTGGTATTTCAGTTGAATACAAAAGCTTTGTTACGTAATTTTAAACGTCTGCGTTGGCACAGTGGTCAAAGGGTTAGCAAAGGGTTTCGGACTCAAAATCTGTTGGAGGCTTTTTTTGAACTTTTTTAAATTGTTCAAAATTGATTTAAATTGTTCAAAATTGATTTAAATTGACTTTAAATTTGATCTTAATCGGTTTTTAATTCTTATTTTGTATTTTCAATGAATTCTGTGATGAATTTTGATGGTTTTGCTACTAATGTTGCCACTAACTTGCTCATGTTTTCAAGCTATACTTTTTGCTGAACGAAATAAGTGTGACATATAAGGTCAGCATATTTCTTTTGCTTGTCAAAGTTGACTTGCAATGGGTTTTCAAGGTGTTGCTTGTCTTCCTTTGGCTGCAAAGCAACAGTTTTGATTATTGCTTTCCGTATCATTTGACTATCTTTTGCGAATCAACAAACTAATTTAACATTTTTATTTGTGAAACAACTATAATATTTTGTTCAATTAGGATTTATTTTGAGTTTATATTAAGTTTTTGTTATTGAGTGATTCTTATTTCCCTGATTTTCCAACATATTCATACATACTTTTGTTTCGGATTCAGCAATTGAACAATGTTATGTAATAATTTAAGGCCATTTAATAACATTTATTAATAATAACCATTTGTTGGACAATAATTCCATTTAAATTAACTAAAATTGTTGAACTAATATTTAAATAAGCACCAGGCCAAATCGTCCAATCACTAGTTCCAGTCATTTTGTGTTACCACATTGGAGTCATAATTACAACTCCCCTCAATAATCCTTTAGTTAAAACAAAGTATTTGTTTGCCCTTCTGACCATTGTTAAGAATGAGAAATAAGACAGGGGAATAGACAGAATAAAGAAAGAGGAGAATAATTTGGACCATTTCTCTTTCTCAATTTAAACACTTAATTTTTGAATATTACAGTTAATTTGTTAACTTTATTAACTAACCTGATTGCCAAGAAAAATTATCAAGAAAGTTCGGTTAAAGAAGATGAAAGAACTTGATGAGATTTCGGATTCTGATGACGATTAGCCAGTTCAAGCTGATGCGGCACATTCTTATAATCCTTACGAGCCTTCTCACCAAAAAACAACTCCGAGAGTCAATTACGGAACAATTTTGAAACCATGAAATCGATTGTTCAATATGATGAAAAATATCATTTGGGACCGACGTTGAGAAGATTGCCGAAAATCTTAAAATAACATCAATGAAAATAACAAAGTTTATCAGCAAGCAAACCAGAGCAAAAGATATTCAAAAATCAGCCGTTGAATTTTTGGCAACTATTAACAATTTGAAGCCTAACTGTAATGATACTAATGCTCACAATGGAATATCTATCAATCTGGATTCCATTACAAATTAGTCTCGAACTTCGAGGGATCAGGAGACAAAGATACTTTAGCAATAGTCAAAAGTTAATTCTTTCACGCACTCATGACCAATTCAGATACTGCTTTCAAATTCTATTGCACCCGAGCAAGAACAATTTGGTGCGTTTGTACTAGGCTGGCGATAAGTGATTAATGAGGCAATCGATATAAATAAAAACTGCATTAAAAATCGATAAATCGATTAATCGAACAACAAAAATTAGTCTAACTATCAGGTAAACTAACTATTTAAGCAAGCAAATCATTTCAATGTGTTTTGGACTCAATCTACTTCGCTTCTCAGTAGCAATATTACCTATGCGACAATGATGATGCAAAAAGAAAATATATTAACAATTCTGTGTTGACATGAATTAACAACATCTGTTTCTTAATTACTAAAATTTGAATGATTTAGCCATTGTTTCAATTTGATTGACTTGTTGATCAACTAGCATCATCACCTTTGCATTGTTAAAAGTATAAGATTGATAATTTGCGTCAATATATCAATTGACGCAAATCGAAATGTGTTTTAGTTATCTTTCGACTTTCTCTTTTTTATGATATCTTTGTATAAAAGAGGTTTTTGGGAGGTTTATGGCCAAAACCAAAATAATGCTGGTGACAATCAAACCGCCGGAAAATTTACAAAGAAGCAAATAGAGATTAAAATGAGCGAGTGAAAGTTTGTATTTAATGTGATCAAAAATTTGCTGAAGCCTGGAAATCATGTTGAAGGAAATGATTGATTTTATTAAAAATGCCTGATGATTTACTGTTCAGCAGATCGATTGATTATATATAAAATGGCCTAATGATTTACTGTCAGATGTGTCACTGAATTATCAGATTCTGTTAATCATTTAAACTGAACAAATAAACAAGAAAAAATCATTTTTGAATTTTTCCCTAAAAATGACAACAATTTAAACCATGACTTCCATATCGAGTGAAACTTTACTTTATTTACTTTATTGGAATTCCATTTTTAATACACTAATACCAATGTTATCAATCAATACTTTATCAAAGTATTGTGTATCGCAATGTTATGGTGGACAAGATTCCAATGCTCTTCTTCTTTTGATTCAGATTATTTATACCATTTGGATTACACTTGATAAGTTTTACTGATAAGGGTTTCCTTTCTTACGCTTTTTCGAAGATTTAGCTTCTAATATCCAAGGCCAGCTTTATTTTGACCCTTGTCAGTTTTGATTACAATCACTACAACTTTAGCGGCCAATAATTATCTTTAAATAATTCCGGTTGTTGAACACTGACCACTTAAGAGACCAATTATTATCTCATCAGATAAACCCCTCACAATATAATTGGTGAACAAAAAGGTTAGTTGCATTGATAACAAATTATTGAACGCATTTATTTCGTTTTGTAAATTCGCAATAATAAAGGTTAGATTAGAAATCGTATTTATCGAAATATTCAGTTTTTCATCCTGTGTTTTCAACATCTCAACATTCAAATTAGCTTAAATAGGGGCTGTAGGTTCCATATCAACAATAAATGCATCTTCAACCCATTCGACTGTGGAGTTTGCTAAAAAACCTTCAACGTACTTTTGAAGATTCAAAGGTAAAGAGGAAGAATCATTCAAAATTGGATCAAAACCAATCGTTTCATAGTTGAAAATGTGGTAAGGTTTTACTTTTACGGAGAATGGCGTTACAAAATGAACATATGCGAATGCATTTGCACGCTTAGCCAATGGTGGAAGTCGTTTTTTTGGTGAACACTGAAATATAAGAGAAATAAATAATTAAAACACGAAATAGACAAATAGATGGAACCAGAAAACCAGAAAATAGAACCAGATAATCACTTGTAAGGGTTAGAGGATACGATAAGGGTTAGCCATGCTTTTTAGACATCTTAGGCGAGTAAATGTTAGCTTAATCAATTGTGATGTGGGATTTTTTACTACATTACTACCTTTCAATTTTTATCAAAAAATTACTTTACCTGAAGATGAGGAACCTGGAATTACCTTCGCCAAAAACTTCAAACTTCTTCCAGATGGTGAAAAATATAACTGTTTAAAGACAGTGAACTGTTGTGGTGTTATGAGGAAGAACAAGTGTAAAACACTAAAGTTTAATTATATATATGCATATGGAAAATGTGGAAAAAAATATCACCAAGCTCTGAAACTTGGTTTGAAAGAGGCACTTATCGATACTTGCAATACGTACTCGAAAAACCCGCAATAATTTTTTTATGGTGTTCAAAAACTGGCAACAAAAATACTACAATGTTTACCTGTAAATCGCCGAAAACAATTGTAAGTAAACGAAAAAATATCAGAGATATTGCTATCAAACACTGGATGGATAATCGAAATGAAATCGGTGGCGCAGGAAAAATAATCGAAATCGACGAATCGCTAGTCTACATAGAAAGAGTAATGTTGGAAGACTATTATCGAATGAAGAAGATTGGATCTGGATAGTTGGTGGCTTAGAGAGAGAAAGTAGAAATTGTTTCCTCGAATTAGTGGAAAAAAGAGACAAGCAAACACTTAATGAACTTATTAAATTCTGGGTAAAACCTGAAACTTACATCATGACTGACTGTTGGGGAGGCTATTTGGACCTTACAAAAATTGGTTATCAACATAGACAGGTGAATCACTCAAAAAATTTCTTGAAGCCGGAAGATAAAAATATTAACACTCAGAGGATCGAGAGGTTCTGGAAAAGTTTGAAATCTAACTTACCATAGGAGACCAATGGTTCAAAAAACGAGACTACCTCAATGAATTTTGCTTTCAATATAAGTATCTCCAGCATCTGAGTCTTGATAAAAGGTTCAAGTTCATGGTTGAGCTCATCGCTAGTCATTACCAAATCCACTCCATCATCAAGTAATCTGAAACAAAAAGAGAAATTTATGATAAATTAATTAACAATAATAGATAAATGAAACCAAAATAATGTTTATTCCTTGAATGTTACTTACTTAATTTGGCTTTTTTACGATTGGCCGATTAAAGTGTGTTATATAAGAAATCTTCTCATATGTTTGATGTTAACGCCTTTCTCCGTAAAAGTAAAACCTTACCGAAAAGGTCATTCACAGTTGATCAAATTGAAATCATTTCTTATTGCACGAAATCAAGAGAACTAATGAACGAATACAACTTTTCTCTTTCTATACATTAGATAAGTCTAAGAATAAACAGAACCTTGCTTAACTATCATAATTCATGAGCACAACAGCTAAATTACCGTACCGGCGTACATTAAAGCACAGTGCTTCTAAGTGAGATGAACACATTTAGAAGCACAAAAACAAAACAACCAGAGGCACATGCGCTACTAATTGAGACGCTAATTTTAAGAATAAATGACCGGTTATAAGCTTTTTTTGGCAGTTTCACCCAGTTTCTTCTTTAATTAAGATTTCTTTATGGTTTTAATTGTTTTAATTGTTTTAAGTGTTTCATTTTAAAATGTACCGGTCAGTCGACCTGTTTCTGTGCTACAACTCACAGGAGTCAATAAAAAAATGTAAGTACTACTCTTTAATTTAACAAAGCCTATGCTAATAACTTATTTTTACCGGTGAATTTTAGATACAAAGAATTGGCTTTAATATATCACCCTGATAGACAGGATGGACATTGAAAGATTATGCAAGTGATTAATGCTCATTATCAGCATTTACAAGCTAATAAAAGTAAAATCTTGGCAAACGTACCGGTCTTTATACAAAAAAGTGGTTCACCATCAGAAACAAGCCAAATTTTTTTAATCCAAATAGATGGAAATGTAAAGCAACAAATTGCTGATTTTTATAAAGTACCGGCTAATAGTGTCATTAGATGGGATGGTGATATCAAACCATGGAATTCAATAAAGATTATCATGAAACCGGTCGAAGAAAAAAAAATGAATGAGGAAAATGACCCCATCCTTAATCGACTCATGACCAGCTATGAGAAATGGGTAATGTTTTATAATGTCTCACGTTCTTATGCTTGGTTAGACCCAGGTCAGCCATCTTGTTCAGTCCCAAAGCCTTCCGTTCATCAAAAGAAGGTTATGCTTTGTGTTTGGTGGTGTCCAAAGGGGGTTGTCCATTATGAGGTATTAGATGAAGGTCAAACAGTTAACTCTGATTTTTATGCACAACAATTGGACAGAGTTCAGACGGAATTACGCAATAAATGGCCAGCGCTGGTCAACAGGTCAAAAGTTGTTTACATACACGATAACGCAAGGCCACATACATCAAAAATGGCCAAGCAAAAACTGGCCACATTGAAATGGGAAGTTTTACCCCACCCTCCATATTCCCCTGACCTTGCACCTTCTGGTTACCATCTCTTCTTATCAATGTCCAACGACTTCAAAGGTAAAAAGTTCAGCAATTCGAGCGAAGTCAAAAGAGCGATTACTGACTTTTTTGACTCACGAGCGAGTGGCTTTTGGTCCAAGGGCATCAATAATTTGAAAAAGAGATGGGGTAAGGTCATTGATTGTAATGGCGATTACTTTGATTAAATAAAATCTTCAATTCAATAAATATGATTGATTGAATTTCTATCAAATTTTCTCTAATTACATACTTGGTTACCTAATAGGATTGTACTCCTCACCATTTGCATTTCTAACCTCTAAAATGAAGTCAGTGAAGACAAGGATAAAGTGATGACAAGGGTAAAGGTGAAAATGATGGTGAAGATCATTTTAAAGAAGATGGTTGAGGCAATGGTAAAAGTGCAGATAAAGATGAAGGTGATATGTGTATCAAAGATGCTTTTTGATCATAACCTTTACATAGTGGTTTAAATCAGTTAAACCACAATATCTCGAAGTTATGAGATAAACACTCGGGCTACGCCCTCGAGTTTAAATCTCATAACTTCTCGATGCAGTGATTAACTATCACTTAAAATTTTGACAGTTTGGTTTTAGGTTTCTCAAAAAATTTCAATAAGTTTTATATAGATTTCGAGAGTTTTTGGATATTTATTTTATATATTAACTCTAATGGAGTAACCAAGTCAATAACTGGTTAGTTTTGTGAGCCTGAGATGTCATTTTCTTACTACTTTTACAGGGCCTAAAGAATTTTTTGATAAGGGCGGGACTCAAAAGTTGGGTATGAAAGAGTGGTTTTTTCAAAAGTAATGGTTTGACTCACATAGACAAACCAAAAAGGATCTTCGCAATCAAGTGGACTAAGCTCACTTGCCAAACTTTTCTTTCCGTATGTACAGTAATTATACTGTCGAGTATCCGGTTAAAGCAATTTTCACAGTCGCCATCTATGATTTTTGAAAATTTACACAGTTTTTATAATTTATAGAATCCTTTCATTACCTAAATCTTAAGCGCTGCCACTTTCTGAAAGGCATTATTTCTAGATGGAGACTGAGAAAAAAGATTGGTTTAACTGGGTACTCGACAGTACGTTTATTTTTACAAAAAATTAGAGCCCTTTAATGTCAGTAGATTATTCAATAGCCCCTCAAACCCTTTGTTTACATTCCCTATAAGAAAGTTTTAATTGAAATTATAAAGAAATTATCAAAAAAGTTCAATATTTCTGACAAATTCAACTCAACTAACGATTCTCAACATTTTTGAAAATTTACACAGTTTTTATAATTTATAGAATCCTTTCATTACCTAAATCTTAAGCGCTGCCACTTTCTGAAAGGCATTATTTCTAGATGGAGACTGAGAAAAAAGATTGGTTTAACTGGGTACTCGACAGTACGTTTATTTTTACAAAAAATTAGAGCCCTTTATCAATTGTTACTCTTTGAATTCAATTGAATATGTTGAAAAAAGAGTCTCTTTATAGCGCCATCTTCTGACGCCGAAAAAAAATTTTGGTTTAGACAGACTGTTCAATTGGATTTCTTGTTCCTTTAATCTTTGATTATGGTTGTTACAGTTCGTTTTGCGCCTAGTCCCACCGGTTTTTTACACCTTGGTGGTCTTCGAACTGCGATTATTAACTATTTGTTTGCACGAAAACAGGGTGGAACTTTTATATTAAGAATTGAAGATACAGATCAGGTAAAGTAAATCTTGAATCTTGAGAAATTTCGATTTTTCATTTTGTTTACTTTTTTCTTTTATTTTTAATTCAGTCTAGAATTGTCTCTTCATCGCTAGCAGATATTTTTGATGTTTTAAATTGGGTTGGTATAAAACCTGACAAGGGACCTTTCACTAAAGAAGATGCACCGAACTATGTTCAGGTAAATAAACTTATTGTTAATTATGGCATAATTTAGATGATGTTTCCTTTTATTTAGTCAGCCAGACTTGATATTTACAAAGAAAAGGCAAACGAGCTGCTTGATAAAGGTTTGGCATACCGGTGTTTCTGTTCAACTACTCGACTTGATTTACTGAGAAAAGAAGCTTTAAAGAATAGAAATATTCCTAGGTATGACAATCGTTGCAGATTCTTGTCGGACAAAGAAATTGATGAAAAGCTATCTGAAAAGGCTGATTACGCTTTACGTTTCCGATCGGAGGATCAAATCGTTAATGTTGACGATTTGATCTATGGAAGCACAAGATTTGACGTGAAAAACTCTGAAGGTGATTTTATCATACTCAAAAGTAATAAATTCCCATCGTACCATTTAGCCAATGTGATTGATGACCACTCCATGGAAATAACTCATGTTCTTAGAGGTGAAGAATGGCTGCTCTCAACGCCGAAACATTTAATGATCTACAATGCATTTGGATGGGATCCACCAAAGTTTGCCCATATTCCGATTATACTAAACGAGGACGGAAAAAAGTTGAGCAAGAGGCACCAAGATCTTGGTGTAATGAGCCTTAAATCTCGTGGATACTACCCTGAAACGATTATCAACTATTTAATGTTAACTTCCAGTTCATTTGAACTTAAATCAAACAAATTAGCTTCATTGGAGGAGATCGTACAACAGTTTAATTTTGATACAATCCATCGATCTAGATGTAAAGTTAGTTATTCCAAATTGAAAGCTCTTAATCGATTTGCTATCAAAACAAAATTGGAAGATGACAAGCAAGGATTTCTTTTAACTTTAAGGAATTATTTAAAAGATCGATTCGGTGAAAAAGTCATTGACAATGAAACGGATGATCATCTCATCTTCCTTTTTACAGAAAGTTCAGTAAGTTTTGAAGTTAATCTCAGCCGATGATTTATCTATTAACTGGTTTTTACCTTTCAGGGCCGTTATTCTAATTTTGGTGATTTCGTAGAAGAATTGGGGTTTGTTTGGACTCCATGTGATCCTGCTTGGGCGTGTGATCAGTTTTTACCTTTAGGAGATCTTGGTGAATACAATTTAATTCAACTCATTTTTTCGATCATGTTTCTCATCAGTTAATTTTCAACAAATTTTTAGATAAATCGGTTGGAGGCTGTCTTGAATTGATATCCAAAGAATGGAGTAACAGCAAAGAAAGAATGGATAAATTACCTTTCTTGAAAACCTATTGCTCAGAGAAAAACGTGGATTATCGATTATTGATGAGATTTCTCAGATATTCACTAGTAAATAGTGAAGTAAGTATTCAGTGATTCGAGCTATATTCAATTTATTTATCGCTTCTTTATTTTTATAGATTGGTTTACCAGTTGGACAAATGTTATATGTACTTGGTGCAGAGGAATTTTCACGAAGAGTTAAAAAGGGAATAGAATATACTAAAAATCAACTGAAAAATTCAAATTGAAATAAAAAATAGAGCCCTATAATTAGTCTGAGCGTAGCGAAGACTAAGGTATTAGACTCAGGCAAAAAAAATGACCATTCCACTGATGTAGAGGCCAAACGGCTAAACGGATTTGCATGAAATTTTCGAATATTGAAGGTTATATAAATATGCAGCTCTGAGATAAAGATTTTTCATATCACCTTACAGGGTGTCCCAAAAATAACGTTTTTCAAGTCGTAAAAATCGTTTTTTTAGACTGAAAAACTCTATGATGTACTTAGGTGCACCAAATTCAGTGAGCTTATATAAAAACATGATAAAAATTATTTAGAAAAAAAATCGCGCATGCGTGATAAATTTTTTTCCAAAATAGCTCATTTTCGTGATTTTCGTGATTTTATCGCAACAGTTGATGACTGTTTTGCTAAATACGCTAAACATACGCGCGATTATAAGTTAATTTACTTAACTTCTTTATTTCAAACATATACCTCTATCTTAATGCACAATTTTACTACCTAATTGAGTACCTAATGGTAATTTTAGGGCATTCAGGCCTGTTTACAGTTATAATTTACGTTACGCCAATCCAGAGATTGTACGCAAAACATTCACAGCACTAATAGAATGCTAATTATGGCAATGGCATTTGACCAATGCCGTGGTAAATCTTGACTATGAAGACGGAATGGGCACGTTCAACGATTTGCCCTAAAGATGGAGAGATTAATTGATGGAACTAGATAGTATCTTCAATAAGTAATAAATTTTAAATGCTGAATCGATACATACTCTAACCAAAATCAGTTCTTTTTGCTACAAACAACTTGTAAGGTGATACAAAGAAATCAGATCTGTTGTAAATCTGACTATTTCTTTAAATTTCATAAACCTTTTGAATTGGGTTCCTGTTTAACTCTTTCATTCCCCGTACACACGCAATTGTCATGAAAAATAGTCATTTTTGTTGAGAATTGTCTTAAAATAATAGAAAAAGATTGATGATTATGCTAGGCTTCATAAGCAAGGTCAAGTTCTAGAATAAATCATTCATGTCACCAAATTTCCATAAAATCTAACAACATGAGCCCCGAAATTCTAATCGTTTCTCGTAGTATTTTGAATGTTCTGATACTTAATAACCTAAAATAAAACCATATCATCGAGAAATCTGTTTTATAATTGAATAAAAGGCGATTGAAGTTTCGACTTTGACCTTGATTTTCTTAAAACTGTCGATTAGAAAAAAATTTTAATAGTTATAATGAGCTCAGTTTTAATGCGCCTAAAAATTATCGCAGTCCAGACTCTTAACTCAAAGTTTTTATAAATACTGTTTTTCGAATTGATATCTCACAAAAGAAAATTGAATTGAGCGGAATTATAATAAAAGAAATCGCACCGTAATTTGATGAAATTCAAAATTTCATATAGCTTTTGCTTAATAGAATCATAAAAAATTATGTGTAGTTCTTGTTGGGTGTATGAATATTGTCTGCAATCGTTGTCTGTTTTCAAAGGCAAACGCTCGCTCAGACTACGCCGGCTCCCGGCTGACCTAGTTTAATTATCATCGATCCTCAGAAATGTAGCAACCGCAAAATGTGTTCAAGTAGAAGTTGTTCGAAAAGCCAAAAAGATAAACAGAGTCAAAGTTTCTACGTTTGATATATTAATTACAGATATTAATATTTTTTACGTTGAATTGTAAAATATTGTTTTGGTTTTTATATGAAAACAATCTCAATAAACTTTTCAATGAATATTGCAATTGAAACTGCCAAATAAGAAAATTTATATTGTGTAAATAAGATGAGTAAATACAGCTATTGTTAGCAGTTATTTATCAAAACATTTAAATGTATTCATCACTTATTTCATATTTTCACTTATAAATCGCAACCCCGTTTATGCTTCCATCTTGGGTACATTTAAATGTTGATGAATCATTTCTTCTTTGTTGATTAGATGATCCACCTTGCAAACCAAGTTCATCAAGGCACTGATATTGTGTGACCAATCGTTGAGAACTTCATTTGGATCTTTGTGTGCCTCGAAGTTAATGATGCCTTCTAAACGATCAACTTTAGACCATATTGTCTTGTTACTCACCAAGTTGCTAAGAATTTCTTCAGTTTCCTGTAATAAGAATTAAAATTCAATGAATAAAAGCTTTTGTATAAAAATAAGAAACAAAATTGAGTTATTAACATACCTCTATAGAAAGATCTAATAGATCAGCCATACGCTGTAACCGGATTCTTTTGTAATATTTAGCCATGATACGGATATTCTAAATAAAATTTAAAACATTGTTAATAAAAGGATTAATATACGGCTGGACCTTAACTTACATGTTCAACAACTCGACTTTTCAGATCTTTCCATCTTTTCTTTCCAAGTTCTGAGAAGCTGTAGACATCAGTAGCTGGGCAAGCATCTGTTCCAGATCTTAAGATGTCTTCAAATCCTTGCACAAACAATCGCCAGTTGATCAATTCAGTTGTTGTGAAAAATTTGAGTACCTCACCATAGTTAGGTAACTCTTCTAAATCTTTAACTCCTTTAATACGATGGATAAGGTCGGATTGTTCATTATCAAAGGGTGAAAGAACAATATAAAGAACTATATTTTTCAGTGTTTCAGCATTCTTTTTAGGATCTTGTTTCACAATAGGAGTGTTTGAAATTGCTCTGTAATGTTTACAAATGTTTAAATAATTTCCTTCTTGCTGATCAATCTTTATCATGAGGTCGTAGTATTTCAACTTTAAATCTTGGACGTTTTCATCATCGAAAAATTTGGTATGAATTTTTTTAGAAAGAATGTGAGCTTTGATGTAGTCCTTCTTAGCCAAACAAAGTCGCATTTGTTCCAATATAAGCTCAACCTTTTCTCTTTTGTCCATGGAACCAAAGGTTTCAACTTGCAATTCTCCTATGATATTGGCAGCTTCATCGATTTTACCCTCGGCTTCTTTCATTGTAGCTAATTTATGAGTTAACCGGGCTCTTTCAACTTCTACATAGATCTGAAAGGAAGAAAAAGGCAATTAGTAACTCTAATCACGCAAAGAGATTAATGTTTTTACCTTTCCAGCAGTTACAGTCCTTAAGGTGTTGATTAATTTCAATTTTTCTTCTAAATCGTCGATTTTATCGACAAACTCACAACATTCTTTGACCATGTCGGTGATGGGTTTCTTGATTTGACCTCGTCTCTTGGTGAGTAGGACAATGTATTCATTTAGCAGCTTGTAATCTTTTGCCTCAAAACAAATGTCAACGATAGCAACAAGGATTCTGCTTGTGGAAAAAGTATCAGCACCCTGCAAGTAGAACATTGAAATAAATTATAAATGACAAACATCAAAATGTCAAAATGATCAGATTTAAATATTGACACACAGAAAATACAAATCTTTACTCACCGTTCGAGTAAGTTTTTCCAATGCAAGCAATTGCTCTAAGGCCTGGACAAGTTTGCCCTCCTCCTTAAAATTTCCAAAGAAAGTAAAAGAAAATTATAATCAATGTTAAAAGACCTTAATAAAGAAATAAAATGTTGTTGGTGATTTTAAAAATTAACTTACTTGGGCTAGCTTTTTGAAAGCAGGAATCTTCTCATCACAAGTGGAAGCATAATCAACTTCCATTTTAAGCAATTTGCCAGTATCGGTGTACGTAATATCGTTAAACATTTTCACTTTAATTTCTGAACTGAATTTAGAATTCAAATTGAACAAAATTAATCAGATGGAATAAAACTAATCAGTTAGTTTTCATTGAATAGTGTTGAGCCAAAAACAGCAAGTAATCAAGCCGTCTTTCGAGTAGCTCCATCTAGATGCGAAAGTACTTACTCAATTTGCTAACACAATTTGATTAAACTTTGCTTTTCATTGATACAAAATTCAATTTATTTTATTGGAATATAAGAAAAAAATCAGAATCTTTAATGATTCAATGTAACAAAAGAAGATGGTAAGTCAAAGCATCGGAACTGCTCAATTACTCAAGCTGAAATCCATATTTCTGATGTACTTTTATACTAATCGTTATTTGATTAGCAATATTCGGACAAATCTTCGGAAAAATATTTATCAATTTCAAAAAGCAATCAATTACTTTATCGATTTATTAAATATACAAATGTATTTATTTATAACTGTAATTATTGCATTACGTCAAGAAATTGCACCAAAGCTCAACACTCTTGAATAAATGGTAAGCTATAAAAAATATTGATGATGTGGACAAAAAAGGTAAATAAATCAAATTATGTGCTAAATCATCTTGGGAATAGCACACAGCCCAAGAAACGTAAAAATGGCGATTAATATAACAAGCAATTGAATGGTAAAAAGATAAAAAATAGGCCAAATCTTGATCAGCTAATCAAAATGATCAACTGGTAAATTCAAAAACCAATGACAGTTAACATTGAGGGGTTGTGATTGCTTTACTCGCAACGTCAGTGCAATCAATTTTTACCACTTGGGCTGAAAACATTTAACCATCTAAATTGATATTCAGTGAAGAAGTTACCAGCAACAGCATCAATTATCTAGTTAAAACCAACAAGCCTTATTGAATATTAATTCGGATTCACATTGTATTAATCGTTTTCCATTTCCATCTTCATTTTGATTTCCATATTTTAAAAAGTGGAATCAGTTCATCTTTCATTCATTTTTAATTTCTTTGACCCTTGCCAAGCAAATCATGGCTATTCCTACAGCGAGTTTCTTTCGATCTTGTGATGAATGTCCTCAGGAAATTGAGTGTAAAGTTGAAGGTGAGTAAATAATCACTAAATTTGTAAATCCATGCTCTCATGATTCAAAACGAACTGACAAAAAATTAACAATTCTTGCTTTGTTTCTTGACAACCATTGGAATTATTTTATCTATCTCCAGGTTCGCTACCTGAATGGTTAAATGGATCATATATTCGACTTGGACCAGGGAAATGGGATCTGCCTGGGAAAGATGAATTCACGATGAATCACTGGCTTGATGGTTGTGCCATGTTAATTAAATTTCGCATTGAAGATGGTCGAGCCTTCTTTTCCTCGAAATTTCTTCGATCATCTGCTTATACCAAAATGATGGCTAATGGTTACCCCGTTTACACTGAATTTGGAACTCGAGCCTATCCTGACTCAAGTAAAGGTCTTGTCACTCGATTGTTTCAGCGAATGGTACCAAGTGATTTGACTGACAATGATATTTCAAATCTTTATCTGTTGAATAAACGTCTTTTTGTGGCAACTGAGTCTTGCAATATCTGGAAAATTGATCCTGCAAATATAACAGGAGTGGAAAAGGTAAATAAATATTTCATTGTATTACTCACTGTCAAAAATTGTCTGTCATACCAATGAATGGTGAAAGTATAATCAATTTCTTACCAATTTATATGAAATGGAAAAATTATTAATTTAAAACTTACTCTATAGTTCAATTTAGATAGAGAAGTCAAAGTGAACCTGAGCTGCTCTCATCCTTTGTATTCGCCAAGTGATAATTGTTTTTATAATATTGGAACCAGCTTCTTATCAGGAATGAAATACACTGTTTACAAGGTTCCTGCAACTGATTTTTCAAAAAACCCAACGGCACATCGTAAGAAATCTTCAGAACACTTCAAATGAAAAAACAGTTTATTAACATTTGTCTTATTTTCAACTCTTTTGTTTAAACGTGATGTCATGGCTCATCTTTTGTCTTATCTAATTTGGCGCTCTTTTGCTAATTTAATCCTGAAACATCAACATTGGCTTTTTGTTTATGTTAATGACAATAGCCTTTTTAGGAGTGGACAAATTAGCTGTAATACCATCTCGATGGAAAGTTGGATTCAGTTATATTCACAGTTTTGCCATGACTGAGAATTACATTGTGATTATTGAACAACCTTTGGTTATGTCTGCTCTCAGGCTTGCAACATGTACATTAAATGGGAAATCTATGCAACAGTGTCTAGAATGGCATGCAGATGAAAACGTTCGTTTTTATGTGATCAACAAATCAACCGGAGATGAACAACCCTTAGATAAAGAATATGATGCGGACCCGTTTTTCTTTTTCCATGTTATAAATGCCTATGAACAAGATGACCAAGTGGTTATTGATTTAGTTGCTTATGATGATGCGAAAGTACTTGAGAAGTATCATATACCTTTTCTTCGTAGAAATCAATTTGGCGATTACTGTCAACCAGCAATTCGAAGATATGTAATTCCACTGGCAGCTAGATTTGTAAGTATTGGTTCGTCTCTCTATTTTTATAATATGTGAAATTCCTACCTGAAATTGAAAATCGTATTTCTTTTTATCGTAAAATGTTGTTTATGAAAATTAATTTCTTATATTTCAACAGACAAAAGGCGTACCTATGAATCCCTTGGTCAACATACCAGATTGTTCAGCATCCGCTAAAGTTGGCAAAGGAGTTATTAAATTATACCCTGAACAAATTAGTGCACCCGGTAAATATTAAAATTAATGAAATTTCTTCATCTGTTTTATCTGTAATTTCTGTTGAATCTCTATTCTCTATAATTTTTAATCTTTACATTTTAAGGTTTCGAGTTACCAACAATAAATAGTTCATTTGCTTGTCATGAACACCGCTACGTGTATGGCAGTGGTACTTTTGACGATGGATTTTTTAAACGTTCTGTAAGTTTTCATTGATAAGTAAGTTGATAGTAATTAAAAAATCATTTGTTTTGTCCATTAAATAGGCCGTTAAAATGGATTTAAAGGAACAAGAAATTCAATTATGGAGACCATCTGATACAGGATTCCCCGGAGAAGCAGTTTTCGTCGCAAAACCTGACAGCAAAGAAGAAGACGATGGTAATTCACCGTTCAATTTTATTATAATTCAAATCACTTCTGTTATTTATTCTCATGCTTTTTGATCTCATTTACTTTCAACAGGTATTCTTTTATCAGTCGTGTTGGAGGCTGATGAAGCGGAAGACAATTTCTTGGCTATATTGGAAGCACCAACAATGACCGAATTGGCTCGAATCATAGTGCCTAAAGCTGCGGCTGATATTCCACCTACGATTCATGGACTTTTCATTCCAAATATCAAAGAGATTATTGTATAAATTCATTTTACTTTTTACCAAGTTGAGAACCTATTCTTACAAAGCTTTTAATCATAGGTACATTAGTACTGTAAATTTTTAAAATAAAACTACACTTTATGTAGTACAGTATTTCTGATTACAATTTTGCAATCAATTTTTTATTTGGTGTGAAAATTTAATTCAAAATCAAAATCAAAATCAAGTTTATGTTCAAATCACAAGTTTTCCTCGCACTATTATTGCAAAATTAAACAGTAGATGGCGTAGGTTATTCTTGAGAAGCTCGTGTCTTTAAATTCAAGTTTCAAATTGATTAATTAGGATTATTTTGATTTATGAAATTCATTTCATCCGATTAATTACTAATCTGATCAGCCTCAACCAAAGTGTAAAAAGAAACAACTTAAAGCTTTATTGATTGGTGATTTTACTGAAGCCTCGACCATCAAATAAGTCAACAGTTAGACTTGTAAGTCATTACATAAAGGTAAGAAGATAAAATTATTGAGATGACTAAATTCAGATGAAATTATTAATCGATGTAGTTAAGTTAACTAACTCTTGATAAACTGGTTAAGCCACCAATTTGTTGAAAATCATTTCTGTTAATAAGTTACAATTTAGCTTCAATTTTTCAATGACTTTGTTACCTACAAAAAATGTGCTGTTTTTTGTATGACTAGTATTTTGTTTGGTAAAACAAAAATTGATTCCCAAGACTTAATTAGCTCAATCAGAAGCTAAACATGTGAGTATTTGCCGGAAGGTTTATCAGCTTCTGATTTATCCTTTTCTAATCCTTACCTGAACGCAACAAATTGTACCTAGACTGGATGTTTGATCAAGTATTCAAAATGATTAATCATTGTCAAATGTGAACAAAAATTAAGGTTAATATAGAGGCTAAACGATAAGCTTCTATCTAATAGTTATACCTTCATCAATAACTGACCTGATCATGCAACAGTTTTAATTATTCAAAGGTTTGCTCTAATGTTCATATCTGTTAATCTGTTCACTTGTTACAGGAGCACCAAAATTTCAGGATCTCTATATTGATACCTTGCTTGGGCAAAACAAGAGGAATACAAAGGCAAAGAAGCTAATCACAATCACCGTTAAACTGAGATAAAGGAAAAGATGAAGATAAAGAATCGGAATCTGATTATCAGAGAGGAATTCCTGAATGAAAGGTTAAGGTGAATCCATAGTCAGATAAATTCATCTACAACAATAGAGGTAAGATTTTAGTTAAAGTTTTCTACAATTTCCTGTTAACCCAAGCTCTTGTTTATCATTATTTCAAAAAGGTTGATCGGAAAGGATGGAAATAAATGAAACAAGGAAAAAGTCTAAATGAGTCTGGAGAGTGATTCCAATTACACTGGAGAGATGAAGAACCATGTGTGAGTAACTGATACATTAACATGATGGAGAAGCCAAGTGAACTGATACATTCACAAGCGAAAAAAAAGCCAAGCAGTGAAGAAAAGGAAAAGTAAACTCAACTGTTGGAGCCTTTCTGTGTCTCTGTTGTACAAAAAAATTTTTTTTGTAACTAATAGGATAAAAGGGAAAGCAAAAAGGAACCAAAATTTGGAGAGGAAATTGTGTTGAGAATGGATAAATTGCAATGGATGGAGAAACGGCTTCTTGATTTTGTTATTAGCCGCATAATAACCCAAGAGGATTGTGATTCTCAATCGTCACATCAAGAAAGATCAAGAGCGACGTTTTCGCCACTTTTTCCTCCTTCCTCATCTCTACAGACTTATTTCACTCTCTCACTTGCCTACACTTATTCATTCACCTATCATCCTGAGATGATGAGAAAAAGCACACTAGAGATTTGAATGGAAACAGAGAGGGAAAAAGACGCAGATTCGATACATCATCATTGTTATCCTAACAGTTCAATCCTTTCTTCATCCAAAGTCTACCAAGATATTAGTATTTCCCTGTTTTTTGTGTTGCTGTTGTTTCGCCTGTTTCAATAGAATCAAATTCACTACTTTTTTCATCATTTTTACTCTCTTATCGAGTTAACTCGGTGAAGATGATGAACAGGAAAGGAAAGCGAAGAGAAGATAAAAAAGGACAAAATAAGAGATAAAAGGTATTCTTATTCATCCCTTATTTTTCACTAATATGGGATAAAATACAATAAACCTTGTCTTGTTATCTCTCATATTGCCTCTTCCTCTCATCTTCCTCATCCTCCTCATTTCTATCATCTTTCTTCTCTTCCTTTTCTCTCTCCAACATCATCTTCTTCTCCTTTTTTAGTTATTATACATTTTATTTTCACTGCTTTAGACGTGATTCGCATTCTTTATCAACATTGACTCACCTAAATCGGCCCATTTTCCTCCTTCTTCAACATCACTCTGGTCAACAATTTCACATTTAACAAGCATCGACATGAACATTCAGATAAATTATAAGCTTTATTCATACTCATTTGAGTTTCAACAGAAGACCCAAAGAACAAGCAAAGGAGCAAAAGCAAAGATTGATTTAGTCGAGAAGGATACAAATAATGATAATCATATTAATATAATAACAATAACTCAATGGCTCAATGAAGATTAAGGAGAGAAGCAAAAAATGTATCATAAAGATATAAATGTGCTTAAAGAAGTGAAAGCAAACTAACAGTTTCAGATTGAGTATTTTTGGAAATGAAATAGGACTGAAATTGAATATCTTTACTTAGTTTCCTGTTCATCTTACCTTTTTTCCCAATATTTAGACACTTTTTTTTGTTCTCCAAATGTAACCCAAAATGGACTGGGACAATCTCACGGGAATTTCAGTGATTCAATCTTCATCTTCTCATCTTTAGTTTTATGCGTAAGAATTTACTTTTTTTTACCTTTCTTTTTCTTCCTATTATTAACTTGTAACCTTTCTCTCTCTCTCTTCTCTATTTTCTGATATTATTTCTAGATAACTTGAAATTCACTGACCAACTAAGTGATTCTCATTAAGATGAGTAACACGGAAAAGTATCAATTCATCTAATAGCTATCAAATATATATACTCGTTGATCAAAGTTTGCCTCATCAAAGCTTCGTCTTAATTACTTTTTTATCACACACAAGTTTCTTTTTTCAAGAAGTAATACAAGTTGGATTGAATTTCACTGAGAAAAGGAAGACAAGAAAACACTCACAAAATGCTGTTAAGAAGAAGAAGAAAAAATTCATGAAAAAGTCAATGATAGACATCATTATTTTTTGAATATTATCATCTATTCATCCATTTTCACCGATAATTTCACTCAATTTCAATGGAAACAAGTGCAAGTAAGTACAATATTGATATTAATGGTTACAATTTCAATTCTTTTTCCTATTTATTTCACATTTTCTCTCAATTTTCAATATAAAGTGAAATGAATATTCACAAAGTGGAAATGCTCAATTCAACTATTCAATAACAGATAATGATGTCTACCAACTGATAAAAATGTATTCATTTTAACCTTTTTTTGCTCCTCACAACTTATTAATATTTTTTCTTCTTTTTTTTGCTTCTTTCTCTAATTCAGGTTTCATTGATTAATGATGAATGCATTGATGGTTTTCAAGTTGAAGTCAAAAAATTGGAGTTTGCCTTTTTGAAAGTCAACAAATTAGCTTGTTAAATAACAAATGTTAATCAAATGAAGTTGCTCTTTGTGTTGATCTCACATTTGCATTTGCCAAGTCAAACTGTTAAAAAAGGCAAATGGAAACCTTAGTGTGTTTATGTCACCAAATAATGGCAAATTAAACCTGTTGAGAGATGTATAAAGATTGAAGTGAAAAGTGAATTAACAACAAAACAAAATAGTCTATTGATTAGTTAACTGAAGTGGACTTGAATCAAGCAACTGTTCAATTTGATGCGAAACTATTGATGTAATAACATTGGTTGACTTTTAACATGAGAGCAAAAAGATGGATTGGAATGGAAAGATGAAATTACTTTTTGTCTTGCTGTTGGTTCATCTATTTTTTTCCTGTTGTTCAACTGATTCAGGATAAGTGCTATACAAATCAAAACAAGAAGAATCTCATCATTGAAGGAGTCAAAAAAAGGCATCAAGATGAGGAACAAAAAAAGAGGAAGAAGACGAAGAAGAGAGCAAAAAAAAGAAGAAGAAGAAAGAAACTCATTTTTGCATTATAAGCATCTCATTGTGATTGGCAACAAAATGTACCAGGGTTGACTTTTAATTGTAAGTCTACTTTTGATTGCTTATAGAGTTTCAATGGTTTCATCAGTTTTTTTTATTTTCAAAATGTAAAACATCTTGGCCTTAGTTTAGCAAATCATTTGAACCATTGAACAGTTTGAAAATGACAAGCAATGAAAAGCCATTTCTAAAGTAAACTTTACCATTCAATTGTAGCATAATTATCAGTCGACAGTTCAACACCAGATTAACCTCATTAACTTGAATATTGATTGAAATTATCGAGAAATGCTTTTCAAAGTGAAACATGAACAAACACAAAAAATCAACTTTGAATAATGTAAGTAAAGTCAATTGTTTCAGAAGACAGTTTTGTTGAATTTTTAAAAATTTCAATTTTCTTTTTCTCTCAACAGATTTTCAATTTTTCATGGATTTTCGGAAAAGATGCAATTGTATGCTCAGTTTGGACAAAGGCCATAACAAGATCAAGCAACCCGACTCGAAATTTCTTGGATTTGCAATTCGAAATTAATTTCTATCCAAGATTGAAAAATGTAAATTATCGTGAAAATGAGAAGGAGTAAAGTATCAATTATCCGAGGTAAAATATGGACTAATATATCCAAAAAATTTACCGAAAGACCCGGCAAAAATCTTTTGGTCGACTTGAAGAAAAAATTACGTAAAGCATCGAGAGCTGGGCCATTTTCAACAATTAGATAACCAACTTGTAGCTTGATTTCAGCAATATCATTTTATAAAAATCCACCGAATTGCCTGTTTTCATTATTTAATTATTAAGTCTCAAAGTTTGTGGCTCTACTTTTGTTCCACCCTTTAAATGTTCCAATATCCAGATTTTGTCACTGAATTTGCAGAACTCGACAATTAGTTGGATTAGAGTTGTAATTCAAAATTGAGTTGTCCATTCGTGAGCAACTCAACATTTTGTCAATCTGTATGAAGAGTATTTTTGGCTCAACAAACACACAAGTAGTTGTTGCACCTTTGATATTGATGATGTTTTATAACCTTTTCATCTCATCACGCCATCAAAGTCATGTTTGAACAGTAAATTGTATTTCTTCTATTCGATGATTCAGTTTACTCAGAAAGTTTCATCTCTTCATTCATTTCCTTTGTAATAACAATCCAAATTTACCACGCAATCATCTCAACTCAGCAAAGACTAAATAAGAAAAATTTTGACAAAAGACAAAAATGGACTTTAAATTTTTCATCAAATTGACAGTAAAACTCATCACAAAATAATAATTTCTTACAATCAAAAGAAAAGTCTAAAAATCTCTCGAGAAAATGAATATTTGATGAACATTTCCAACATTTCCTTGAAGCTTGAAAGTTTTCTAATTATTCTTGTCATTTCACAGTTTATTGAAGCCCAATGTGCCACCAAAAGTCATGGCGAGTGAAAAGGCAATTTAAACCAATATCCAGACAGATCGATCCAGAGTGACTTTTAATTTAACAAACAATCCATCACAGTTTTGACTTTGCAATCAACTTTGTCTTGGCAACAGCAGTCAACAGTAAGAAAAAAATGGTTAATTTCAAATTAAATTGAACACCTTCTGGTCTTGACTCTATCACAGTGAAGCTCGCTGCACGCGCGTCATCATCATCATTATCATCATCATCAACATTCTCACCATAATCCGGCTTCCTCTCGACCCTTTCCTCTGGAAAAATGTAGTTGCTTAAACCATTAAAGGAAGCCATCAAATGGATTAGAATGGATTCCATCCAATCTAGATCTCTTCTCCTTCCCTCTTCTCATCCTCATCCAATCTTCATTCCTCCTCTTTGCCACAAGTGTTGATCATTTAACTTACTTTTAAATAACAGAGAGTCAAGATAAATACAGAAATAGACAGTTTGAGTGAAAAAAAGGAGGCTTGAACAGTGAAAATGTTAACAATGGCGTTGTTATTAGTCACTCCAATGATTCCATTATATTAATAATCTAGGTTCGCACCAATCGGTAAACCGATCTGAAACCAATATATAAGAGAAGAAGAAGAAGAAGAAGAAGATGAAAAAAGCCATTTTTTATCATCATCTTCTGATCCTTTTTCCTCTTCTTTATGTAGATGATGATGACTCGTCAACTGATTTCTTACTCATTGCCTTGCCTGTTTACCGTTCATCTTGAACCTTCAACTGTTAACCAAACTGTTGTGTTTCCCTTTTAACCATTGCAAAAGTCACCAACTGTGTAAATGAAAAATACAATCAATTTATTATCATTTTTATTATTTACGCGTGAATCAATCAGATGATTATTTCCATACAATATTGTATTTAACATTGTAATACAATGTTTCCTTTTTTTGCCCCTAACATTGATCAACTTTGTGTGCCATTGCACCAACCATTCAGATAATGTAGACATTAATCCTTATTTTTACACTTAATTTTCATACAAAAAAGTAATCATTTCCAATGAAACTGTTTAAATATTTGATTAGCATTTCACCAATTTGTTGGCCAATATTTTGTTATTACAATAAAAATGACATTTTACTCTACCATTTAAACTGGTAAAAATGGAGAGAAGAGAAAAAAAGATTTCTCTTTCATTTACTTTAACCATTAACTGACCATTTAGAAATGTAAACTTGTAAACTTGACCTGCGGTTAAATGATGTCAATTGGAGAGAAAAAAGTATTTTTGTCCTTTAAATATTAACAAATAACTTTAATTAATTAGTGTTATTGACTTATATTGATAAAAGCTTAATGAGTTGAGATAAGAGTTTAATGGTAATTATCATGGTGATGAGCAAGGTGATGAACAAGTGATGAGGATGAAACAAGGTTAGTGTACTTGGAAGAGCCTTTTCAAGATTCAATTTTGAGAAAAGTGAGTCAGAAAAATGCAGAGAGTCGTGATGTTGGCTCAAATCTTACGGATTATCAGCTATGATGATGGAAGAAGAAGAAGAGATTTGATGAGTAAATGAGTGAGGAAAGATGAGTGAAGATGGCAAAGAGTCTGAAAGATGATAGCAACCTTTAAATTGATGGCTCTGCTGACGGCAAGTGATGATAATTAATGGTGTTGATATAAGAACCAAGGAATGAGAATGAAAAACTAAATGTTTAACAATCAACTTTGGATATCGGCATCGCAACATTGATCAGGCAAGGTAAAGCGAATGAGCATGTAACTGATAAAAGATGATGAAAACAGGTAATATTATGATTTAAAAAGCCTCAAGCATTTGTCTAAAAACAATATTTATGTTGAAAAAAACAAATGTATTTAAATGGAAAAGTGGAAAATTGTGAAAAAGGAAAACTAGAAAACCATTTTCTTGCTTCTCTCATCGATTCTGGTTAAGCTTTGATCAACTTGGAATCAATGGAAATGATGGCGAAAAGCAAATCAGATTAAACGGATTGAATTACTTGGAATAATCACCAAAGTCCATTATTTTGTCTCTATTACCTGCATTAATCAATTGTAAAGTTTAAGTTGAGGAAACAACAAAAAATGTTATTCAAGCCTGAAGCACAAGTTAACTGAAAATTGTATTTATATTCAGTTAATTTGATACAATTGGGAGTTTATCATTATTATTAACATTATTTATTTAAATTTTTTTGCTTCTTCTTCCAAGAGGAAACTTTTTCTTCTGAAACATTTGCTCAACATTATTCAACCACTTTCATCAGTAAATCAGTTGCGATTAAAACAGTTCACATCTCAATCTGATGATCAAGTTAAATTATGAAAATGACAAGATCGTGTAACAAATGAGATTGACTTTGCAATTTCACTTTCTCAGGTTTCTTCTTACCTTCATAATCGCTGTGAAAAAGATTCACTTTGCTTCTTAATTATGTCTATTATGATGGGCTCAGAAGCATCAGAACTTTAAATTATTTTTCCCCTGAAATCATCTTTCCATTCATTTTTGCTTCATCCTGTTGAGCTGAGCTTTTCTGCTTCCAATGCAAAATTATTGGCCAAATTTGTTGTTCGGCCAAAAATGATTACAATCCTTTTCTCTGTTCCAATGAATCAGCTTTAATGCTAATTATCTTGATTATTCATGAGCTTTCAGCATAATGTAATCAACAGTGAGATTAACAATTTTTTCTTCCTCTCTTGAATATCATGGAATCATGGAAATTAGTTAAACCAATAATTATCATTTTTAATTAACTTTACAATTTTCTTAAAAATTTTCTCAACTTTTTCAAATAAATTTTAATCTAATTTTCATTTCATTGTTTTAGGCTAGAGCTTCAATCATTTATAGAATGGAAATTGAGATCCACTTGAAGATCAATTTTATGAGTTTTCATGAAACATTTGATACGTTTGCAAGCTTCAATTGTCTCTCATTTCAAACAGTTCAAATGACATTTGCTGTGTGCAAAAGAATGATCAGTTTATTTAAATGTAAACTGAATAATTGATAAACAAAATTCAAGTTTCAATGAAACATCAATCATGATAAAAAAAGAAGAATGAAAATGATCATGGAAAATCTTTGCTCAGTCAACTTTCTGTTCAATTTTGCAAAACTTTGCAAACACAAATTGAATAAAGTAAACCTTTCAGATTATTTTATTCAAATGTAAACCTAAAAAGATTGCTTTGTAAATGATTAATTAATCGTAAATTTTTTTTCTTGTACAATTCAAAATCTTTAGAACCTGATAAAAACTGATTTCTCGAGTAAATTAACTCAACTTGAAAATCTTTCAATTTTTCACTCAAAATTGATACCAAACTAATTTCGAAAAAAGTTCAGCCTTGAATCGAACTCACAAAATTGTTAAAAGTCAGAAAATGAATTCGAAAAACTAGAAAATTTCTTAAAACTTTTCTTCGATTCGATGCAAGTTTTAGTGTCAACGAAGCGCAATTCATCGAAGTGGCTCATCTCGAAATTGAGTTCTAGAAAAAAAGTGAAAACTGATTGGAAAACATTGACATGAGAATAAGAAAAATAAGAATTTCATGAGTTTGAAAATTCTGAAGTAAAGGTTGAAAGTCAACAGAAAACTTGAAACTCTCCACAAGCAAAGAAAATGATTTCTAAAAATTTAATAATAGAACAGAAAAAATGGCTTCAAAAATTTATATAAACTGAAGATATTCAGAGTTTAATATTAATGTTGAGAAATGAAAATTTTCAATTTAACTAAAATTCCAAATCTATTCAACTTCACCAAAACTCATCTTTACAGTTTAATACAACTCTCAGTACAGTTGTTTTCCTGATAAAATTAATTTCACTGACAATGCAAAATAACCCGAGATAATTCATAGTTTAATCGGCTAATCTCAACTTTAATCTTTAATTGTAAAGAAAAGAAATGAAAAGCAAAATGAAACAAAAACTATAATCGGATTAATGATCATCAGTGGCACATTCAGTTAACCTTTAAACATTTCATCCTCCATTTATCATCTGAGAACTTTCAGAGAGAAAAAAAATAACTCATGAAAAGAGAAGCACTGATTAGGTGTTTAGAAGGTAAAAAAGTTTTCCCTTTATTAGCATATTGAATGCACAAAATATTTGAAATTTTTTCAAACAGAAAAAAGACATTTCTCTCTTCCTTTTCACTTCAATCATCAACTCAACATAATTAAAGTTCACCCTAAATTGACTGCCACTGATTGAATACAATTGAACTGCAAAAAAGCTCAATTTGCATATCGCTCTTTGGATAAACTTTTTTCCAATCAAAAGTGAAAAAATGAAATGATAATGATAACATTTTGATGAAATGATAACTTCATTTTTACCCATCAAATGGCATTCCTTCAACACCTAAGTCAATAATGCTTTTGATCAACATTCATTTCACTTTACATATTCAGTTAATCTGATTAAACTTAAATTGTTGAGATAATTACTTAATTTGCCAGTTTACTTGAGAAAAGGTGGAAACTCTGAAAAGTCTCATTAGCAGAAATTAAGTGTTAATGTGTGAATTGAAAATAATTACGTGTTGATTAACATTGATAAAATAATTAACGATTTAAATGATTAATAGAAGTGAATAAGAAATGTTGAACAAAAGAAACTTTTTTTCTTGTTCCATTGAACAAAAAGGTTTTGAGCTTCTTTATCAAACTGTAAATAACCTTTGAATGTTTTCAATTGTTGATTAAGCAAACGATGAAATGATGAATTACAATTAGATTATCGTGAAAAATAATATCAATACAATTTGATAACAAGGTTTACCCAGCATGATGAGAGGATGAGAGAAGATGGTAAAAAGAGGAAAATGTGCTTCAGGCGCCTTTTCAATGTGAAAATGTAAATTTTCAAGATTTGCTGAGGAAAGCAAATTGTTACCTCAACTTATCAAACACAATCAATCATTATTATTAAACAATCAAATGTTGAACAGAGTTGATATTCACATAGACGCGGCTACTTGGTTAATGTCATTTGTTGATTTACTTACGGGATGGTTAATGATGGTGATGAGATGAAAATTGAAATGAAAATCAATGAACAATGTAAATACAATTATCGGTTGCTCGTTTAGAGTAATATTTTCATGCTTCAACTAATCAGATTTTCTGTGTTACAATCAGATTGTCATTAAATGTTGACTTGATGGTTTATGTCAGGTGATTACCAAGGATTAATCTTCATTTAATTGTAGTCATTAACTACTTTTTTTGCTACTTTGCTCAACATTTCAACTTGAAAATAAAGTCAAAATTCGGGCTCATTTTTCTTGCCCATTTCTGGGCAATTCATTACCTCAAATGCATTTGCAAAATGAAAGATGCGTTTGCATTGAAATTGGTTCACAATTTAAATTTTCACGCTTTTCCACTTTTCCTTTTCTAAAATTAACAAATTCACTTTTCTCTGAATAATTCATTCGATACAATTTACCAATTATGCCAATCAAGAGACACTTTCATTGCAATTGATGTTTGATGATCAGAGGCCTATATATACAGCTCAAGTCATCCTTTTTAGACTGACTTTTGTTTTCAGTTTATCACAAGATTTTGAAATTAGATTTTGATTAATCTTAATTTTTCGATTTAGTTTGAACCCATCTAATACGCTCTAGACTCGACTGGCTTCAGAATATCAGGTCAAGTAAAGGAATGACAAATCGACGGATTTCAGGTCAAAATGAATTGCGAGTCGAGTCGTAGTTGTAATTGTCTGTGATTGATTATAAAAGCCGAATTCGAGTATGAGAATGATTCTTTGATAATTCTTGTTCCATCCATTTTTAGACTTATTTTTTTTTGTTGATGAAAAGAATGGAAAATTGGCTGAGAATTTTTCATTTTTCAAATTCCAAACTGTTTACATGAAATTAGTACAAACTATTGGCGAAGCAAGCTCCTGAGACAAAATTATCGGATGTGAAATGTACTTTTCATTCTTGACCTTCCCTTTCTGATAGCGTAATTACCGTTATTTTTGCTCATAAAAGAGGCCAAAATTAACATCAATGATTATCATTTA